CCTGAGAAGATTATGACACATCACAACCATATTTTGTGTCAGCTTTCTTTTCAATAGAATAACAGTGGGACATTTTTCAAGCTTAGCCAGCAGAGCTACACCTTGATAATTCCATTTTCTCTTTCAGTGCTCCATTTTTTTCTACTTCCTTTCAAAATTGCAAGCTGAGCATCAGCCTCACCAATACAGCATACAAAGCTAGGATCAGTGTTATGCTCATCTCTGTTCATATGTATTCAAAGAACCCTTGGAAGCAGATGCAGAGTTTTTCCCTGCTATTTACAGTGTCACTGCACTCCAGGGAGTTGTGTTGTTTTTGCCCTGAGCACTAGATGCAAAAGCCCAACAGCGTGCTGACTTTGTACACAGACAGTGGATGAAGCAAGGCAGCAGAAGAGGCCAGCCTGCTCTGCCCTTGTCAGTGTCCACCCACAGGCTGCCAAACACAGATTTGATCAACAGCAACTTTATATCTTACCTCAGGATTAGTGATTGAAAGAATGGATGCCTCTTTCCTAATGACTCGAACAAACAGAAATTAACAGGGACTTCTTAGAGGGACATTTTTTATGATCTATTACTAAATCACTAGTTAAAAGCTAAACATAAAAAACATTTTTAAGAATAATACAGTTCAGATAGAAAGCATCATGGTAAATATGAAATACAAAGTGAGATTAGGCTTTTTTGTTATTTCAAGCAGAATACCAATTAACCTATTTATTACACCAAGGTAGTGAAATATAAATTATTTATGAGGAGAGGAATTTGTTTTTTCTCATTTTGAGCCCCAGTCATAACACATTTGGCTCTGGAGCCACAGCTGTTTCTTTTTTGGAAAATGAATAGCTGAGAAAAACAGGCCAAGTAGAACACAACTCTGATTTCAATTGCAAATACTTAGAAATTTAAATAAAGCTAAAGAGACCCAGCAGGTAGAAACACTCAATATTTTTCATTGCTCCACTTAATGACTAAGTTAAAGCCAAACTCTCAAGGTGTCACAGTTGCTACAATTAAACATATTCCATGAGATGATGTAATGGATGAGATAGTGCAGAGCTGTCACCTCAAAGGACCTTCCAGAGAGAAATGAGAAACAGCAAATATTTTGTAATAGCACTGATGGAATCTTACTGGATTTAAACAGACTTCAGATGTACTTGTTCTCCAAGTGATAAAGGGCCATAATGAAACATTATGGCAGTAAACAAGAATGAAGAAGGAACGGGGAGAAAGGAAGATAAATAGTACCACCACACCACCCCCCCTCAAAAAAAAAAAATTGAAAAACCTATGATAGCAAAATCATTCTATCTAAGATGTGAGTAAAAGTTTGACATCCCAGCAGAAATTATTGGTGATGTCACTGGTTTGTAGCATTTTTGACTGGATTATGTCAATATAGAGAAGTTTTATGGGAGAATAATTATCAAACAAATTAGAATCAAACAAATTTCAGCTCATTGTGCATTTCAGACCCCTCAGGGCCTGACTAAGGGATAGGCTAAGCTTACTTTTTTCTATTGGCCTTTCATTGACAGCAGTAGAGCTACTCATTTTGCTGTCACATAGAATTTGGATTAGTGCACATCCAGAGCTACACTGATTTAATCTATCTGTTATCCAACCCATTATTTCCATGTCTATTTACAAACTGTTTTATTTTTTGCAGATGTGTCTACAAAAAGATGAAGCTGAACCAGGTACTGGAATGTATATGCACTGGGTCAGCCAAAAGAAATATATTCCCATAGTTGAGGTGATGCAGATCAATCCTGAATTCTCACTTCATGGCTGTTTAGTTCTGGGTTTGTAAGTGCATTTCATGACATTGAAAATGTGGAAGTTTTGGAGAAAAAATAGTTAATGCATCTCTCTGCCTGTATATGCTAGAGGTATGGATCCTTTAAAAACACACATTATTGTATTTTTCAGTGTGGGAAACAAAACCTCAGCAGGACAATGTTCTGACCGAATCCTAAATGTTACTGTTTTCAATATTCAAACAAACAAGTAGAAACTGAGACTCTGCAGGAAACAGTTTGCAAAACAAGCCAGCCTATGCATCTGAGAATACACCTGCAGTTAAAACAAAAATAAGAGGCCACAAAGAACCATCTCTCACTGCTGATATCACCACAAATCGAACTTAATTCTTAGAAGATCCATTGAGATACCTCTGACCTCCAATCTAATTTGGATCTGCACATGTCGTCCAACATGCTCTTTGCCTGGCTACTTAATGGAGGCTGCACTGGTGTGATTAACAGAACTCATGTGGGGAACAAGTGGCTTTGCTCACATCAAAGAGCAGCCAGTGGTACCCTGAGACAGGAGCCACTGGTGTATCTGGAATGCAGGCACTCTCCTCTTCTTTCGTGGTCTCCGAACATGCTTGCATTTGAAACCAGTCTGGGCAGAACTTTACAGCTTATTTTTGGCAGCATGTGAAAGAGCTTGTTGTCAAGCCTTTAGCTTCAAATTGGTCAGCACAATTTTCTGAAAATTTTGACAGTGTTCAGTCTTTATTCTGTGCCAAGTATGAGCTGACTGCAGAGGACTACATTGCACTTAGAGCAAATGCACTTCAGCTGTCATGTTCCAAGTGGAACTTCAAATGTTTACAAATGTCCACAGTTCAGTGTATGAATACCATAAATTTAGTCCTCTCCTACCACAATGAAGGAAATAAATTGGTAGCTCTGGAGCAAGTTGAGTGCCCATGACATGCTGCAGCCATTCATTAAGCAAAGACTTTAAAAGTCATGTGCAAAATATTGAAGAACATTAGCAAAAACCTACAAGAACAAAAGGGTATGACTACTGATGGTAATGTACAGCTTTGACACATGTAAAACAGGCTCAGGTTATATTCTGCTAGATTGTGTGAAGAAACAATGTACTTCATCAAGTACTAGCATTGGGTATATTAAGTCTGGAATGAAGAACTCATAATAATTTTATATATATGCAATTAAAATACAGAAAATAAAGTTACAAACATTGAATTAACATACTATGCTGGTTTGGCTGGGATAGAGTTAATATTCTTCATAGTTAGCTATTACAGGGCTATTTTCAATTTGTGCTCGAAACAGTGCTTAGATCAGGCTGTTCTCATTATTGCTGGGCGGTGCTTACACACCATCAAGGCCTCTTCTCCTTCTCACCCCACCCCACCACTGCAGGGACTGCGGATGCATAAGGATTGGGGAGAGGACCCATCCAAGACAGCTGACCCCAACTGGGGGTCAGCACATAAAGCTGGAGGGAGAAGGAAAGGGGCGATATTTGGAGTGGTTGCATTTGTCTTCCATAGTAACTTAAGTGGGATGGAGCTCTGCTTTCCTGAAGGTATATGTGCCTGCCAATGGACAATGGTGAATGAAGTCCTTGTTTTGCTATGCTTGTGTGCATGGGTTTTACCTTACCTATTGAACTGTCTTTGTTTCAACCCATGAGTTTTCCAACTTCAGTGCTTTCGATTCTCTTCCTCATCCCACTGGTTGTTGGGGGGGAGTGAGTGAGCAGTTGTGTGGGGCTGAGTTGCCAGCAGGGGTTAATACATGATACATACTGAATTCAAAAACACATTTTAAAAAACAAGATGGATCTTTAAGTGAAAGAATTGTCTTCTTTCTGACCTCCACCATTCAACTGCATAGAGGCAATGACATACAGCAAATATGCTCTAACTGACATGAAGGTAGATTTAAAACAGCACAGGAGGAATATCTGCAGCAGATCCACGATCTTGGCTCCAGTGCTGTTAGTCTTAGCAAGAGCTTGGTCCTTGTAGACAAAAGATGTTCATGACCAGGTACATCATGTCTCGTTGCTGCTGGTATTGCCCTGTTTATACCAACCCCTGTCTACTGCCAGACTTCACCGTTGGCTGTTGCCAGATTTCTCCCAGACCTGCCATCTGAGGTGGCACTGGAGCCCTCTCAGGCTGGCACTGCCGCTGTCGCTCTGCCCAGCCCCGCGCAGGTGACGCTGCGGGCGGGCAGCACGGGGAGCGCTCCGTGTGTCTGCTCCCCGCAGGCAAGGGGCTGAAGAGGGAATGGGAGCTGCCACCACCCTCCCCATGCGGCTCCTCAGGCGGAAGCTCACAGCAATGATGGAACAGCACAGCCCACTGGCACAGGAACAGCTTTTTAAGTGACAGTTTTTACGGTATTCTTCTAATTAGGAGTATGAATATTATTTTGAGTCAGTAATTTTTTCACAGTAGCCACCGAGTCACAACAGTATCCGACTGCTCATTCAGTTTTTGCTTACGCTTGCGCTTCTACTCCATTTTATAGATGATTCTAAGACGGGAAAAATTAAAACATTCTCACTTCAAAGCCTCTTTCTTGATCCTCTCTATTAGTCAAATTTATTTTTGCAGTTATGTATAGACCTGGCTGATGTTACAGCTCTAGATACAAGAATTAAAAATGCATGATGTTACAGTGGCAAATTACTGTACTGCAATTTCAAAAGGCCCCAAAGATCCACTTAAAAAAAAAAAAACAAAAAAACAAACCAGTAATATGGGCAAAGATAGAAAACAGTAGTTGTTAGAATTAGAATAGCAACTCAAAGCAAATGTGAAAAGAATTGCTGATGAAAGATACAACTGCCTTTTTCTTAAAGAATTCAACCTCTTATGAATTGCTGAGTAAATACTTGCATACCATGTCAGAGACTTCAAACAACTCATTCTCTAGAAAAGAAGTAGAAAAGGAATTTTACCAACAGTTTTACGTAGTCTTAACATTGTCCTGCTTACTCTGGGAAAATCAGAAAAGCTATGCTCAGCAGTATGCCATATCCCATTTTCCACACTTTTTTTTACACCTTTCTGCATTTCTGGTCAACATACTTGTTAACTGTGCTTATTTTCTGAAAATCTTTGCAAGATTCCACAACTGTATAAAGTTAGGGATTATTAAAAACTGTGATACTACATTACAGTCCACCGAGAGAGAGAACCACCTTAGAACCACGAGTCCACAAAATTTTTTATTAAAATAACACCAACTTTAAGAAATCGATGCAGTGCAGAGAAAAATTAATGATTTTTCATCCTTATGAAGTATGTAAACTGCATTCCAATCCTGACATGACTGATGTAATACAGAAACTGTATCCCAGATGAATGTCAAAGTTAAAGACTGGCATGCTGAGCAAGGAAGGTTCTTATTCTTTGCAAGAGCTCCTTCTTTACACTGTCTGGTACCAAAGCTGAAACACAAATAAGAAAGCAAGAAGTCAAAAAAGACAAAATAAAAAGTATGCTAAAACCGTACTTTTACAATATTCTACAATACAATACTATTCTTTCATTGTTCTTGCAATTCTGTTAATACCTAAAGTAACTGAAACAACTTGATTTTCATATAGCACATCTATATTTTTCCCATTTAAAATAGGCTAAAATTTGATCTGTTGAGAACAATGCTACTGGTCAGGTTTGTTTTTTTTTTTCTTTTTGCCTATTCATAGTCCAGAAAACTGGAAAGTTTGAGGAAAAGGATTATTTAAAAGGAAACAGGACATAATCACCAGAACAAGTGTGATTATTCTACCTTTTTTCTTCACAAATTTAAGACCAAAAAAATCTCAAATCTGGTCTCTAGTAAGGGAGTCAAGCAAGCTATTTTGAAGACCTATTTTTATTTAGAACTTAATGAAGTTTCTGCCACTAACATCAAACCCTGCTAAAGAGGCTGAAAGGAACAATATAAAGAGGACTGAAGTTTCCTCAACTGATTGAATTTTTTTGTATCTGTATACTATGTCTTTACTCTTCCCATTCCCATTACACTAGAACTGTTAGTTCTGATTTTCCATCTTAAAAGATTTGGAATTTTAAAACATCTGTGTTGCATACACAACTTGGGACCATTAAGTCAATTATAAAAATGAATATAGACATGACTAAATAATCTGCAAAAGAAATCTGAAGGCTGCTACACAATACAAATTCAAGTTTCATTGGTTGTTAATATTAAGCTATTAATATTTTATTTTTAGCTAACATCAAGTTTTATTAACCTTTTTCCTTGAATCCAAGACAGACAAGCTCATGATGCTGCTTTCAAAATACTAATGAAATAGAGGTAGGTATGTTTATTGATGTACTACTCCATCCACATTTGCATTTTCTTACCTCTGCCTTTGGGAGTGATTTCTGCCACCAAATCATCAACAGTAACATGCTCTAATCCTTTTTCTTTAATGACATCTGGGGAAGACCAAGACCAATACTTTAAGTCTTTTAATCCATTCATAAAATGACAAAACCTGTGCTGGTGATTAAGAGACAAAACCTGCCTACATGGTCATGGGAGAATACAAAGTAGCATGGGACCTAAATATAGGCTATTACCTCAGTACCTACTGCACTGTACAGTGGATTTTAGTCTCTCACTCATGCCATAGATTTAAGGATGGGAACCTGTCACTGCTGATGCATCTTGATCAGCTCATATTTTAAAAACAAACATGAAATTGTTTTATCTCATCTGAGCATTACCAGGTGTGACTGTTACTAGAGTGCTGGAGCAGTTCACAAGTTGGCTCACTTATCTCTTAAAACACATTATTTACACAGTAGTAAGAAAGGTGCAACTGGAAAAACACTTTGGAACATACAGTAAGGAAGAGCACAATAAATCCTTACTATTCTTCCAACTGGTTGAAACAAGATTTCTGTATATATTTCAGCCAAGTCAAAAAGTATGTCAGAGAAAAAGGAATAAATCTATAGCAAAATAAAAGCTATTATTAATACACATGAAACAACTGTTTACTTATAGTGCCTTGCACACTACTGAAAAATGCAGAAATCAAAGCTGAGAAGTAATCTCAATTCAGTAGCATGTTTAAACATAAATGTCACGTTGCCAGGGATACATTCTTCTTGCCCAGATCTTGTTTAAACTGTCAGTAAAGCCTTCAGCTGGGACTTTTATTTGGCCAGAATCTCAGCTCACTACAAAGGAAATTAATTAATTGACCACTGTTACCTTTGCAATGTGCCTTCAACTGGTCCTTCCAGCCACATTCAATTAATTTGGCTCTCAGCAACTCTTTAAGGCTGTTAATACAATATAAAACTTGTTAGAACAGCAAACAGTGCTGGCAGCTTAAATATGGTCCAGTGTGAAAGCTAGGCCTACAATTACCCAGGAGCTCCTAGAGCAGCAGCAGAAATGGCTGAACAGCAGGTGAATCCAAACCCAAATAAGTTCCAATTTCAGGTTACCATGTTGGACTATGAGGATTTGGTGCCTCCAGAGCTAACGCACAGAACTGCTTCAGGCAATGTTGATGCTGCAGCCATGCAGAAATGGGTAGAAGCCCTTGAATTACTTGACCTGACAGAGTCTGCTCTGGTAGCAGAGGTATGCAGACTTTCAAAGTTGGACTATTTCACCTGATACCAGGTCTTTAAAATAAGTAAAACCTTCTCCCTCACCTTTCAGGAAGAATTCTGCACTACTCAACTGCAGGTTTATCTCCCCATTTACACATTATCTCATTCTGGGTGAAAATGAAGGATCCTATATTTTAAGCTTCCTCTCTTAAGCTTCCATGGTTAGCTATGTAAGCTTAATCAACAAGGATTCAGGCATTACAGGAAAAGACACAACAATCTGCCACAACGAAACATCTACTCCATATATCAAAATACAATATTGAAAGTTAGCTAAAAAGTGAAAATTAGTACTAAAAAAATAGTACTAAAAAAAGAAGAAGGGAAAATGAAAGTAAGAGATGATAAATAACATTAGTATCTTTTACCCTTTTCTCCATTAGCTAGAAAGCCTGCTTATCCTAAGTAACTCTAGCAAAACCCTGTTTTTATGAATGAGAGGATTGTAGCAAGAGGCTGAACAGTGTAGGTATAATCCCTTTTACTCAGTGAATTGTGTAGAGGGCAGATGAACTGATGACAAAAAGCAGAGTAAGAATACGGGTGAAATTGGCTGCCTCTGGATATTTCTTAGTTCAAGAAATCTAAGTGCTCTGTCTCTGATCACAGTACAGCTCTGATAAAGCCTGTTTATAAGACAGCTTTTGACATCCTGATAAAACCCTTCCTATTCTTAAATTAGCATAAAATAGATCCCAATACCATTTCAATAAATTGCCTGCTTTTCTCAAGCTCTATACAATCTTCAAGGGGATGGTCACAACGAGGAAAGATGTAGAGCAGAGATACCAGGTCAAGCTACAAAAGACTACACCAGGCACAAGGCTATGCCATGACCTAGGAAAAAATTTCTTGTCATACAGGCCTTTAAAAACGAAGAAAAGAGAACTTTTGGTGCATGGTTGCAAGCACAGTGAAAAAATGAGGAGGGAAATGTCACAAGCACTCTAGTGATATGTAAATACAACATCAATAAAACAGACTGAAGAGAGAACAATAAGCCAAAAAAAATGGTGCAATTTACTTGTTTGCCTTGACTGGGATCTCTACAATGACTTGCACAAGTGCTCCTTTATGTATTCAACAATACATAAATATTGCTTTACCTAACAAGAGAAGAGCTAGAAACACAAGAAAAACTTAAAAGAAAAAAGGAAATTTTTTGTTTCCTTCTCTTTATCAGGAAATAACAAGATTTAGCTGCAGCAAATTGAATGGATGATTCTTACATGAATTTAGGGCATTCCAACACAAAATACCTGCATAAGAGAAAGCTTCAGAGTTTATAAGCCAATTACCCATACTTTATTTCCCAACTATCTCTTTTCAATCGGAAAAATAAAACTGTTCAAAAGGCATTTTTTAAAATAGTTTATGTAACACTCAAGACCTTCCAGTCCAAGACTCAATTTTTGAGTCTTCTGAGTCCAAGACTCAGTTTTTAGAGTTTTTATGGAGTTTATTGTACTTCTAGGCGTAGTGCAGTCTTGATGTATTTAAAGCCTGTCACCGGCATAGAGTAGAAATTCAACTTACCGTTCCCGCTCTCCTGTTTCTATTAGCTTTTGGTTAATGGTTGCTCTCATTTGCGCATCTTTGTTCATTTTGGAAACCTAGGTTTTCCACAAACCTACAGAGAGCAAAGCAGAGTTTCGACAAAAGCTGGTGTCATTCATTCCGCAAAAAAAAAAAGTGACCAAAACAGAATGACATGCAGTGTTCCGTCCACTGACACATGCCCGAGGTTAATGACCGGAGCACCAGTGTGTGACCAGCTCAGGGGCGAGCTCGGCACGGCACCCACCCGGCCGTCCGGGCACCGGCACTTCGCCGGGCCGCCTGCGCGGGCACGGCCCACCCTCTGCGGGCACGGCCTCTCCGCAGCCCGGCCCTCCCGCCCGGCGCCCCCGGCGCTCGGCCCGCCCAGCGGCGCCCCGGAGCGAGCCGCAACCCCGCCGGTCCGCGCACCAGAGGCGGAGCCGCCTGCAGAACGCGCCACGCGCCGCCAGCCCCACCGCTCCTGGGCGCGCGTGCCGCCGGGAAACGTAGTCCGGGCTCGGCGACTACAGCTCCCGGCGCGCTCCGGGCGCACGGCTGCCTCCTGGCCCAGACTACGACTCCCAGCATGCACTGTGGCGGCCGGGCGACCTCGTAGCCTCTTCCCGTGGTGCTGCGCAGCCACTGCCGCGCGTTCCCGAGGGCCCGTGGAGTTGCCGGCGCTTCCCGAAGTTTTCCCGGAGCCGCGGGATGGCGGGCGCCGCCCACTGCTCCCTGCAGGCCAAACGCCTGCTGCTGGACCCCAAGTTCGAGGGATACAAGCTGTCGCTGGAGCCGCTGGCCTGCTACCAGCTGGGGCTGGACGCGGGTGAGGAGCGGGCGCGGCGCGGGGCTGATCCCGCCGGGCATGCCTTGGGCAGCGCCGGGGGATGGATCCCGCCGCCTTTCCCTTCGTCCCCTCGCGGTGCTCCGCGGCCCTCGGTGCAGGGTGCCCCGAGCTGGGAGTCCCGGAGCACCGGGAGTCCCGCGTCTCTCGGACGGCGGGGGTTTCCGAGATAGAGCGCTTCGTCTCGCTTTTCCCGTTAAAATTGTTGCAGGTGGCCAGGGGCGTCCGGCGTCCCGCCAGGTGCCTTCGTGGTGGACCGAGGCGCCTGACTCATCAGACCTCTGCCTTAGCCTGCTTCTGGTGCCCTTAGTTCCCAAATGAGTAAGGAAGCTGTGTCCTACATCTGCTCTTGTTTGTGCAGGCAAGGTGAGGCAAATGACCAGCTGAGGTGGTTCACAGCGGAGTGTGGACGGAGCACATGTGGTTTAGAGAAACAAGTATGAAACTAACGTCTTGTACAAACTTAGCAAATTAGCTGTTTTCCTTTGTTACTCTGCCCAGAGTTCAGAGGTGAATCTTCATGTCACACATTCCATGCCCCGCTTTCTCTGCCAAGCATCATTAGTGTTTGAGATGCTGGTCCATTAACACACTAATTCACTGAGGAGTACATTAGCACAAAGTCCTGTTGGGTATGTGCCTACAATCTTAGCCATGCCCTGAAATATCTCAGCACTCTACGTTTACTGATTGGAGAAATTCAGGTCTTTTTGTAAGGTGGGTGAATTAGTTTAATTTTCTTTGTAAAGCTGAGACAGTAAACACAATTTGTGTGGGTTAATCTGTCTCTGTATATTTACTGAACAATATACCTGTCTGCAGAGTGACCCATTACATGCTACTTTAGTTTTGTGTAGAACATACTCTATTCGTGGTAGATCAGAAGGGTGTGTTTGCCATGCTGAGTTGTCAGCAATAGGAAGGAAGTTTTTAGATAAATTTTGTATTGAAGGTTAAGTGAATGAGACTGTGAGTGTATCTGTGGTAGGACTGCAAAATTTAATGAGAGTAACATTTTTACTGTAAGACTGCTTTAAGTGTCACCTTTCAAAAGACAGCCCAAATGCAGGTGAGTGGGTGCCTGTTATGAGTGTGCTGCAGTTGTGTCAGAGAGAGCGGCAGCGTAGCATTGGTGCACTCCCTGAGTTTGTTCTGCCTATGGTCAAGCAAACTTTGTGGTTCTTGGATAGTCAGTTGTGCACCTGCTCTAAATAGGTGAGGATTACAGATCTTCATTGAAATACATGCACAGTGGAGTTGCTAATGGAGAGATGGATCTACTCAGTTCTTGTCTGTTAGGATACTCTACAAAATGGTTACAGTAACTGTGTAAGTGTGTAACAGAGGATTGATATGTGTGACTGTGTTCTTTTCTTTCCCCACTTCCCACAGCGCAAAGACCCTGACTCATTTCAGTCTAACTTACTCAACTGTGCTGCAGAGTCACTAATACTAACTCATATTTTCTGTTCTGTGTATGCATATGTAGATATAGATACTGGTCCTGTGAAGAGTGGAAAGCTTTTATTGTTGCTCTTGTGTATTTGAATTAATAACAGGAAATGTATAATTCCTTATATCTGTCCTCCAGATGTTTTGATTGCAGCCTGCTCTTCAGCCATGTGGCTGCTTCCTTCTCCTTGCTGGTTTTCTTTTGTGTCCTTCAAGGCAGTTTATTCACAGTGCAGTGGTGTTCTGTACCTGACTTTTGTATTTCCCAGTGTCAGTGGTCTACACATGTGTTAGATTTAGGGTATCCTGCCAAAATTTGATTTTTGTGTTGTGCAGGAGTGGTGGGTTGAGTTGTCGAGACTGTGCATGGTGTGTAGGCTGTGGCTTTTTCAAATTGCTGCATGATAGAAGAAGCCAATAGTGTGTGGGAAGGCCAAGAACTTCTGCTTTCCAGCACACTTGAATGCAGATTCAAAGCCTCTAGAACATGATGAAGAGCTTGGTAGTTTTTGGGTTATTAAATAAATATTTGTTACTGTGTGAAGAATTTGATTTAATTTCCTCAAAGTGGCTCTGAGTGCAATAGCTGAAAAAAAAGTAAAATGTTGAGGAACACTGTCAGTACAATTATTTCGATTTTATTCACAACTGTTTGCAAAAATAACATTGTAGAATCTGGCAGATTAATGTAAAAAGGTGGTTGATTTTTTTGTTTTACAGGAAAAGATTTAATGAGTGTTTGTCTCACATGACCTGAGATTTGTAGTTCTGCTTGGGTGGCATCCCAAATTTGGTGGCAGTTAAGAGGAATATGTGAGTTTTAGAGTACTTGGAATACATGACAATAAAAATAAATAAGTGCTTGTTCTTAAGTAGAACTGAATTTTAACTCAGCTGCAGTGAAGTCTTTATTATCTATTTTCATTAATTTCACTGCTAGCTATAAGATAAAATTACCAAAAAAAATGCCCTGTGGAATTGATGCAGTCTTCAGCCCCTGGAGCAGATGGATAGCAGCATGTGGTGTTGTGTGACAACTTGTGGTGGTTGTCATGTTCCTGAGGACTACAGTGAGCTTCATTTTCTGACCATCATGTAAAAACCTAGTGTTCAGTTCTAATGTGCCTTCAGCTGGGTGACTGTGGTTGCCAGGAATTTGCTGTGGCCACATATGTGACTGACATTTTAGGAAACAATTTATTTATTAGATCTGTGATAGGAGGTGATTTTCTAATAAATTTCTAAAAATGTATGGTCACCGTGAAGAAGAATGGGGGAAGTATGATACTATCTCTTCTCTTTTAAATACTCCGATTTGCATATTCTTCTTTTATTTCTTCCTTATTCCAACCCATTCTGTCCTAGTTAATGCTGTCACAGTCATTTGTTTTCTCATATCTCCTTCTGGTAATATATTTCAACTAGTAATGAGTCCTATATTATTATGCTTTTAATTCCTAGTTCTTCACTGTAAATTTTGTCTCTCTCCTTACTTTTTTTAGTTTATTTCCGTAACTTATTTACAATGTTTCCCTTGCATTGAGTTTTGTAATGCCTTTTTTTGAGATCACCTAACATTTAGGAGGGATGAATGAGCATCTTGGCTGTGGTTATCTCTTCTGCCCTAATCCGAGCTCAGCAGAGTCCAAAGCAGAGATTGTGGGGCAAATCCTTGTCTCCAGCAAGGAACATGTCCAGGTTGCGTAACATTTTTAAGGGATCGAGATCATTGCTGTTCACTGGTTAGATGTCTCATAATTCCTTTTCCTTTCCAGAGGCTTGGAATTTATTCAGATGTGGATGTCCCTGATCCCATTCCTCTCTATCTTGTCTGTTGGGCAGGACCATTGTACCTGTAATGCAGTGGATGCTTTTCAGTATAGCTACAGCTGGAAGGCAGAGTAAACATTTGCTCAGAGATGGAGCTGCTGATGCAAGCCAGGAGCGTATACAGAGAATGCATTCCTTTGATCTCGTGCATTTATCAGTTTTATCACTTTTTTTGAAAAATGGTGGTAATGCATGCTGTTTAGAAGGCCTGCTTCAAAAAGTTGCTCATTAGTAGTGCTACATGGAAAACAAGTTTGTGACTTTTCATGGAGCAAAAGGCACTGGTGTGTTTCAAACATTTATAGAGATTTTCATTTGCATTTTCCATTTGCCTTTGAAAAATTAAATATAAAAAACAGTGTTCAAATTAATGCATAGGAAGTAGTAAGAAATTGTGAGCTTTTTCAGACATTCGCAGCTGTAATTCATAGAAGTTTAGGTCTCAGGCACATATTTCCTCAACAACAACGAGATGCTGCCTTTAACAATAAGAACATGTTTTTTATAATTAAAATAAAAAGCACTAATGCAGGGTTAGAAGGATCTTTGAATGTAGATACTAGAAAATAAATCATCTCTTCTTCTAATAGACCAGTGTGTCTGCAATACAAAATTGCTTCCACTGGGTGGCATTGCAAAACAAGGCATGACATACAAGCATATAATATTTGATGTCACAGAATATGCTGATATAATTGCTTTGCATATTTTTCAGTTTTGTAATGTTGCTTTGGTGTATTCAGGGAAAGTAAAAATGGAGGGGCTGTTTGGGTGTTGGTCCTCACCCTTTTTTTCTCTACATTTCATTTTCTCCCCCCCTATTTCTGCTTCATAGTGTTTGGTGGCAGATGTAAGACCTCTAAAGTATAAGTTCCTTGATTGAGAGTTCTTTAATCAGAGCAGAATTCTTTTTTTTTTTTTTTTGCATTGCAGACTAGTAATTATAATAATATCTAGCTAGGGATCTTATTGTAACAGGTTAGGGATGTGTTAGTTCTGTTGATTCTTATGAATTACTTTATATTTAGTGCTTTTGCTTTTAAGTAAAGCATTGTGAGTGCAAATAATTTCTTTAATTATGTTTAAACTATTTTGAGTCAAATTATTTTAAAGCATGGAACTAGTAGAGATAAATACAATTCTAGAAAAGTAGCATAGTTTTCTTTATACTGGTCCAAAATATCCCATGCAACTAGGGTTGTTAGGAAATAATGTTGAAAGCTGAGGTTTAGTTTATACAGTCTGCACACTTGCTTTCTTTTCTGGTATGAATGACTGCGTATGAGTCAATGTCGCTGGGTTAACATGGTTCAGGTGTGTTTATCAGAAGTTTGAAAGAGACCATGTATTGTTCTGTTGAATAGCTGCCATTGACTGCTGCTTCTGAATTGAACCCAAACAGACTAGTGAACCCATTGAGAATGGTGCAGTAATCTGACTCTTAAAAATCACATAAACAAAAAAACCCCAACCAACAAAAAGGCAGGAAAAAAATTAAAAACTGTAAAACAAACCCAGACCAAGCAACAACAAATCAGAAAAAAATCTTGACTAAGCAACTAAATTTAAACTCCTAGAACTGTGTAACTGTGAGACTGAATAAGGTGATGATCTGATTGAAGTATTTCTTCTTCTCCATTTATATTAACTTACCTTTCTCTGAATTTACTTTATTAAAATTTCTGTTTCTTTTCTCTTTTCTCCTTTATTTTTTTGCCCTCAGCTCTATTGGTTTTCTCTTTTTTTTTTTTTTCAAAGACTGTCAAGAAACCTTGAATCTTGAAGGCTGTAGAAAGGAGGGAATGAATTTCACCCTAGTACAGAATCTTCTATAAACTATCTAAGCACATGGTGTGCAATAGCAGATGGCAGATTTCACTTGGTCACAATATAGGTTTCAATTAATGGAGAATGGAATAGGTTCTTTAATTGGTTTATCTTGGCAGAGCTATACTGATGTATAATGCATTCTGAAAGCAGTTGGCTACCTCATTTGAAGTGTTTCATGACAAGACAGTACACATTTGTCAGATTTCCTAATTTCAAATCACCTGTGTATTGTATAGTTTCTGACTTCTGTTTATGGAATTAATTACATATCACAGTAATACAAAGAATTGGGATTTGGATCTCCTTTTCCTGACCCCTTTTATTATTCAGGGCTTATCAGAACTACAGTTGAGAAAACTAAAGGACAGAGAGTTCATGTTCTTCCAGATTTTGTAAAGTTTATCACCTTGCAATCAGCTAATCAATAGTTTATTGTTCCAAGAATCTTTGCAAAAAGTTGTACATTTACTTTAGGAATCATCTAGAGTATTTAGACTGTTTTATAGTTATAGTTCGGACAGGAACAACATAACTAGGGGAGTGGGGAAGGAGAAGTGGAGAAATGAAGCCTTACCTTTTCATGGGTTTTATGCTAAAAACATCTTTACATGTTTCTGCATATATTCTAATTTCATAGGATCAGCTATACAGGAAGTAGATGATATGTGCTTGGTTTCACTAATGATAATAATCCTGGATTATATTTAGTTTGGTCTTTAATTGTTTACAAAACATTTATGTCATCTCTTGTTGTGTTGGGAAGATATCTCTGTGATAAAGCTTGGTTACACAAACAGCTTTAAAATGCATTTTCACAATATATTCTATTTTTTTGCAGTGTAATTTAGAGTAAAGTATTCTAGTTAATTAAAGTAGGAATTGGAATGCGTAGCAGTCCTTGCCATTAAGACAGGTGTATTTTCTTCTCACTCCTTCGTTGATATTCTAGCTTGTTTTGAAGGGCTATAGCTTGTGGAACAGTAATTTATTAATTGCAGAGGTACGGAAATCCCTCCTGTGTGGTGAATATGAATAATGATTTGATCTGGGTGGAATTAAAACTTCTGGTTTGCAAATATCAACAGTGATTAGGAGACTAATTGCTGATTATGCTGTCATTTTGCAAGCATTTTGTATAGTATGTCTGGATTTTTTATTAATCAGGCAGCATAATCTTGCATAGTTTCCTGCAGCCACTGTTATGTTAATAGCCATTATCTCTGGGGTCTGTTTTGAGCCATACAGGGGTTGTCTGGTTGTTGAGCTTGTGATAGCTGTGCAGTGGCACTGATGGCACTGCCAAGTGAGCTGCTCTTTGCAGAATTGGTACTCTGCCACAGTAAACTACTTCTGCTGCAGTGGGTTGAAGTAGGTGCTAAAGAAGAGTCAGAAGTCTGAGTGCTGCTGCAGAGTGTTGTGAATGGTCCCTGTTACGGGGTGGGATGGAAGTGAAATACTGGAAATAGATTTTCTCTGTTTCTGAGCAGAAAAGGGAAGAAAGTAGAAGTTGAAAGATTAGGAGCTACAATCTGCTCTGAGAAGGATTAGCCTTGAGATGCATTTCACATACGCTGGGCTTGAGTGCTAATCATCATAGACTGACAGTTTACTTGTAACTTTCTAAAGGAGTTTTGTTGGGTAAGTTCAAGATAAGTTCCCTGTAGGAAAGCTAAGAATCCTGGGTTGACTATTCTGGAGAATGAAATGGAGTTCTGGTCTATCTGAGACTATTTACACAAGGATGGACTAGACCTCTGCTAATTTATTTTGCGATGTTTCAACTATAGCTGCTGCATCTCTGTATAGATATGGAATAGGAGGAAAAAAGCTGCTCATAATTTAAATAAGAACCTGGTTAGTCTTCAACAGATAATCTAGTCCTAATTACTGATAGTTAAGTAGAGGTTTTTTATTTGGAAAAATCTTGCTCAAGTAAATGACTGTAGCTACCATGCTTCTTGCCTTGAAGAAGGTAGTATTCTAGTGAATAGCCATTCTTTGCAGCCTCTTTCAATTATAAAAACTTAGTCTGAAATTTTGATTGTATGTTTAGACATTTCTGGAAATTTCAGCCTCAATGAGAGTGCTAAGAATATGGTGGGGGTTGTTAGTTTGCTTTTGATTTTTGTTGTAATTTTTTTTGGTGCTTTTTTTTTTTTTTTTTAATTACTGTGAACTAATTCTGCTTTGTACTGTTTTAATCTTTTGCTTTGCAAGTGTTGGCGTGGTAGCTCAGAATTTAAGACCATGAAATCCACGTGGTTATATGGAATATTTATTTTGGTTGCTGTTTTCCTAGAGTTACTATAAAGCAGACTTTTTTTCCCCTTACTGTAATACAAAGTAAGTTTGATATTGTTGTTGCATGTTCGTAGATGTGTGTTTCATCCTGTGAGAGTTATTGATAAATTGGACCTCAACACATGCTGGTGAGAGACAGGGTGGAGGTGTATTGGGTTTGCATGGCAAGGTTTTGGTAACAGGGGGAGCTACAAGGGAAGGCTTCTGTGAGAAGCTGCTGGAAGTTTCCCCCATGTCTGACAGAGCCAATCCCAGCTGGCTCCGAGATGGACCCGTCGCTGGCCAAGGCTGAGCCCATCAGCCATGGTGATAGTGCCTCTGGGGTAATGAATTGGAAAAGTATAAAAAGCTGCTGCACAAGAACTGCAGCCAGAAAGAGGAGTGAGGCTGTGTGAGAGAAACCACTCTGCAGACACCAAGGTCAGTGAGGAAGAAGTGGAAGGAGGTGCTCCAGGTGCCAGAGGAGAGTGTGCCCTGTGCTGAAGACTGTGGTGATGCAGGTTGTTCCCCTGCAGCCCGTGGAGGCCCCTAGGGGAGCAGAGATCCACCTGCAGCCTGTGAAGGACCTCATGCTGGAGCAGGTGGATGCACCTGGCTGAGGCTGTGATGGCATGGAAATACCATGTTGGAGCAGACTCCAGGCAGGACCTGTGATCTTATGGGGAGAGGAGTCCACACTGCAGCAGGTTTGGTGGCAAGACTTGTGACTCCACTTGGGACACCCATGCTGGTGCAGTCTTTTGTGGAGGACTGTGACCTGTGGAAGGGAGCTACTCGGGAGCAGTTTGTGAAGAACTGCAGCCTGTGGAAAGAACTCACCTTAGAAAAGTCTGTGAAGGATTGTCTCCTGTGGAAAGGACTCCTTGCTGGAGCAGGGGAAGAGAATGAGGAGGAAGGAGAAGCAGAGAGGTGTGATGAACTGACCTCAACCTCCATTCCCTGTGTCCTGTGCTACTGGAGAGGGGAGGAGGGAGTGACCAGTGGGAGTGAAGTTGAGCCTGGGTAGAAGGGAGGGTTGGGGGAGAATGTGTTTTTAAGATTTGGTTTTATTTCTCATTACCCTAGTCTGATTGGCAGTAAATCAAACTCATTTCCCCAGCTTGAGTCTGTTTTGCTGTGACAGTAATAGGTGAATGATCTCTCCTTGTGCTCATCCTCTCTCATGAGCCACATGTTTTCTCTCCCCTGTCCAGCTGAGGAGGGAAGTGACATGTCGACTGGCTTTAGTGGGCATCTGGCATCCAGCCAGGGCAAACCCACCACAACAGGCCACTGTAAATGGTAATAGTGATGAGATAATCGAAGCAAATGACTGCAGTGGCCTTCAGGGTGGATGACTTGCTTTCCAAATTTATGGTGACATTTTAAACTATGTATACATAATGTATTTTTCTTCAAATAAAGCATACCTATGGAGTGAAAATGGAAGAATTATTTTTAAATTGTTAGTTTGAATTTTAAATTACTAAATTGTAAATAAATAATTGTTTAAATGGTATTTTTCTTTTCCCTCCAGCTGTAGCAGAAGTGCAGCTTCGTGATGATCAGTATACCCTTGACCACATGCGTGCTTTTGGCATGTATAATTATCTTCACCTTGATTCCTGGTACCAGGATAATGTCTACTATGTTGATCAGTTTGGAAGGGTCATGAATCTGTCAGTGACTCTGGTAAGAATAAAATCTTTTTTTTAAACCACTGGATTGGAAAAGATGGGAGCAGGTGAGATAGAAAATATTGCAAGTAGGATCCAAATGCAAAAGTTGGGGAAAGCTATTGCCAGGAAGATATTTCAACAAAAATGCATTTTGCCAGGAAGAATAAAAAGATTTTAAGTGAGGCTTCTGTCTTGTTTATGTTAGTAATATTGCATTAGTGTTGCTACAGAGTGTGTTGCAATAGCCCTGTCCCCCTGCTTAAGGGGACAGGAGCACTCAGAAGTTGAAGATATTTGTGGCCTAAAGGAACAGCAAAAGCCAGAGGGTTCACAAAAGCTTACAGAGGTTTTTTAGTGAGTTACATGTTTGGTATAGAAATTGAAATGATAGTCCCTGACCTCCTAGTACAAACACAGAGCAGTGGGCTGATGGGATGTTCAGGGTCCTGGAGGTGCTGCCTGGGCTTGGTGGGGGTACCTGTTTATGGGTCAGTTTCTCCACTTGGAAAATACGTGACTCACTTTCTATACGTGTTAGTTATCATGTGAAGTTTGCTCTTTCAGTCCTTTCTGGAAATAGGTTGGAGGCCTTAGGGGGTCTCCGGTGGTCTTGATCTCCCCCCTGCAGTCCGTGCCACATCCACTTCTCCACATTTTTCCTGTATGCATGCTGTACTATGCTGTGCTTATCTCTAGGAGCCAGAACAAGGACATTTGTCCCAGAAAAGTGCTCTCCTACCTCTTTGTGGCCCCTGTCTCCAGCCACATCCTGTTCTTTCTCACAGTGTGTTATTACCAACAAACCTTGGTTGAGTCCACAGCCTATGGCTATCACTGCTGGAGACATACTCATTAGCTCTTTTCTTTTAGGCTTCTACATAGTGTTACATCTGCTTCCTTTCTGGGCAAGATGGACATGATGACAAGCTGAAGGAAAGGGAAGATGCTTTTTTTTTGTAGTTGTTTTTCTCTTTCTCCCTGGTATTACTTGATGTTTGTTTGCTAGCGTGAAAACTCAGTCATATGTATATATGTTAGAATTAGAGATGCTTAATACAGGCATAATTTGTTGGAGGCAAAAAGATGCTGGTGGCTGTGAGGGAAGTTGACACAGTGTAAGCAAGCTAGGCTAAGTCTGAAATTTCTGCTTTTATACTGATGGTCCTAAGTAATCAAACTGTGTTTCTTTTGAGCCATTTTAATGCATGGATGCTCTCATTTCCTTTACAAAACTCTACTTCATTTCAGAGAAGGAAAGACATGGTTCTATGGACACCATGTTTCTGGCAAATACAGTTGTAGTGCTTGGGCATTAAGAAAGAAAAAACTGTGTGGAAAGGAAAATGCCTATTGTCATACTACCAGAGTTTGACTTGTAACCCTGTCAGACAAAAGAAAACACAGGGCTATGTGTGGGTTTTTGAGAGCATGTGGCTTAGCCTATGCAAGGTTCTGGGGACGGAAATTACTAGGTCAGGACTAAACTAAGAAAAATTCTGAAACTGTAGTTTTAGATTTTCAGGAAATAAAGGTTTCCAGAGGATGGTAAGTTGAGAACTGAAGTTGCAAAATATTCCTTTGCTTTTCATAGTATGTAGCAGTTGGAGACTTTGGCAGACTCTTACTGTGACAAAATAATCTTCTAGGACTTCTTCCAAAACTTTTGAGATCATCTGGATTCCTAGGAGAATCATCTAAAAGAAAGCCTTCTCTTAATAGTGGCTTGTCATAATCTCATTTTTTGTTTTATCCTTTGAGGTTGGTTAACCTTGGCTTGCTGCTGGACACCCACCCAAACACTCACTCCCTCTATTCAACAAGAAGGTGAGAAGAAATGAGAGAAAAGCTTGTGGATGAGGATGAAACCAGGGAGATCGCTTACCAGTTACCATGATGGGCAAAACAGACTTGACTTTGGGGAAAAGTATTTAATTTATTGCCAGTTAGGACTAGTGTAGGATGATAAGACAGAAGGTCACACAAAACTTGTAGCAGGAACAAGCTTTGTTGTTCAGAAACTTGTACTTGCTCCACTGTGTGCTTTTTCATGGGCAACAGTGTGGATATCTGTCCTCAGTGGGTGTTGGGAGGACAGTCTGCTTTTCCATGTTCTGCTCCAAGGGCTGCAGGCAAACCTCTGTTCCACACCGTTGGCTTAGCTCAACTGTCTGCAATGGAGAGTCCAGTGGAGCCAGCGGGAAGTGGCTGTATGTGCACTGGGCAGCCCTGGCCCCTCCTCACTGAGGCCACCCCTGCACAACACAGACACCCAATACATTTCCTTTGCTAGGAGGGCACTACGTGTGCAAATTTATTTCTCTAGCAGATAAAAGACTTTACAACAGCCTATAAATTGACATAAGAAATATTCTTCCTTAGGACCTATTTCAAGATAATGGCATTTGATTAACATCTGGTCACAAGTTTTGGTTCCACCTGAAGGGGGAAATAAAATTTATTAAGCTATGAAATAAATAGACACCATCTTGTGTCCTAGTACATGATACTGTGCTGTTTTGCAAAGGAAACATGTTTGCATATGAATAAAAAGGAATTTGTGTTCAGAAACGTCAACAAGGTGTCTCATTACAAATGTGCCCAGCCATATATTAGTCAAATGTATATTAAAAATAGCATTGGTTTTGACCAAGTACAGCTTTCAATTAAAATTAATGCCAGTCTTCTTTAAAACAGAAAATGGAACAGGGTAATGTGTTCATCCTAAAATTAGAGTGAAAGAGCCCATAGACTTTCTAACACATCATTATTTTCAGTTCTGTTTCTTATTTTGGTTGCAGCTTATTTGTAAATATATTTTCATCTTAGTGACAGCAATGCTGATTTTTAGTAATGAGGGAAGAATATCCCTCTTGTTAAACAGAGATTTCTGATTTGTGGACCTTCAGAAATAATTGTAGATCAACTGACTTGAAGTGAGCCTAGTAAAATAAAACAAAAAATAGTTTCCTTGATTCTATAACCATTTTTTATATTTTCAACATGGTCTATTTGTTGTTGGATTAAGAAAATAGATTGGGTTTAAAAAGGGATTATCTCAAGGTCAGTCAGGCACCTCTTTTTTTTTCAGAAATGATTTTATTGTTCAAATACATGTGGGTACACTGGCTCGTAAAATGCCTATGAAACCCATTTTATCTAATTTTGTTTCATATATTATACATATATATTGTCCTGGTTCAGGGCAAATTTGGGAGATAAACCCCCAAAGGGGCTCCTCTAGAACAGCAGATTTAATTGGCCCCTCCCCTCAACCGCTTTGGGAGAAAATATCTCTTTGAAGAAAAGTGGAAAAAACCCTGTTTATTAAACAGTAGAACCCAAACAATATTAAACAATAAAACCTCTTGCTGCTCCAAAAAGAGATGGCAAACTCACAAAAGTCCCCTCCCCAGGCTGCAGCTTGGCTCACTCAGTCTCCTGTCAGTCCCTCCGGCGCTGGAAACGCCGCGGCCCAGGCCCGGCCTGGCAGCCACAGGTGGAGCTGCTGGGTGTTCAGTCCAGAGCAGGTTTGGACAGGTCCAAGAAGAAGAAAAACCACAGTCCAGGGAACTGCTTTGCCTCAGCTAGCTAAAACGAGCTAAAACAAAGGAGAGCTCTGTCCTGCTGTCTGTCCATCTGCAGACAACACAGTCCAGGAGCAGGAATGTGGAGGAGTGAGTGCAGTGTCTGAAAACAAACTGCGCGCTTCTTCCCTCCCCCCTTCACTCTCTGGAACAAGTCTTAAGGGCGCAAAACTTATTATTCAGCATAAACAGAACAAGACGACTGGGGATAAAAGCATCATATAGTCAACCCAACACACACACTGGGTTGACTATAAAACACACTCTGTAAATTAGGGGAAACAACCATAACTTCCTGAGAAATGTTCCCCCAAAGATACAGAAAAGAACAGGAATTCCTCTTCTTTATTATTACTGGAAGACCTCTTTGAAGACTGCAGATCAGATTCTGCAGTCTGTGTATCTATAAGAGGGATAAGGTGGTGGATATGGTTGGGTTTGGATTGTTTAAATTATATTTTTTGTTTATTTTAGAATCTTAGAACAGCCCAGATGAAGGGATCTGAAAAGATCCTGTAGTCCAAGCTTTCATGGTGAAAGGAGCCTAGATGAGGTTATCTAGCACTCTGTCCAGTTCTGTCTTGAAAACCTCCAGTAATGGAGTTTCTGCCGTGTCCTTGGGGAGGTTGTTTCAGTCACTGATTGTTTTAATTGTAAAAATTTCTCTTATGTCTGCATGAAACCTCTCCTAATGCAACTTTTAGCTGTTGTCCCTTGTCTTCTCTACATGGCTTCTTGTGAAGAGATAGCCCCTGATGTCTTTGTGCTTGCCCTGGAACACTATGTGAGGTCTCCTCTGAATCCTCTCCAAGGAGACAAAGCCTAATTCCTTCAATCTTCTCACACAGGGGAGATTCTCAAATCATTTGATGGTGTTCATGGCTGTCCTTTGCACCTTTTCCAATCTCTCCATGTCTTCTTTCAACATTACTCCAGGTGGGGCCTGACAGCCACTGGGTAGAGTGGGATGATCACATCTCTTATCTCTGCTAGTGATACTTGTGTGGATGCAGCCCAGGATCCAGCTTACCTTTGGTGCTGCAGCATTGCCCTGCTGGCTCATGGTCACCTTGTTGTCTCTGTTGCCCTCAGGTCCCCTTCACCAGGACTTCTCCCTGCCATACGACCCTGGCTTGTTCTGCGCTCTCTGATTGTTCCATTCCTGGTACAGGACAATGCTTGTCTTTGCATATTTTCCCAGTGTTCTTGCTGCCCCACTCTTCCAGGCTCTCTGGCTCTCTGTGCTACATACAGGTGTTTCCCTTGTAGGTACACATGTCTACCTCATCACCTAGTTTAGTGTCATCAGCAAATGGGGTGAGGGTGCTTTCAATCCTATCATCCAGGTACCTTATGAAGATGTTCAGTGTGTGGGGCCTGGTGTCAATCCCTGAGGGACCCCACTTGTGACAGACTGCCAGCCCATTTTATTTAACAGCTTCTTAGTTCAGTTGAAAAACTTCAAATGATTAAGTTCTATTTCAGTTATTTAACAGATTATAGAGATGTGATGTTTCTGAATCTCCAGTTTGCATCTTGTATTTTTCTTTGAGAATATTTTGTTTGTGCTCTTAATACTGCAGCCCAATCTACTTCATAAGTAGCTGATCAAGCTGTATTGCTAATAAAGCTTGTCCTGACTGTTTTTTAAACTGTGACGCCAAATTATTTTCAAATAATAAAGATTTTGTTAGAGTTTTCTTTTAACCTAACAAGCCTCTTGGGTATTCAGAGATTGCTTCAACACAAAAAATTGAAGTAAATCTTAGTCCTAAGCAGGCAGCAGCATGGCTGACATTCCATGAGCCAAATAATGAGCAGAAAGTCAGTCACAAAGCCTTATTCAGCAAAGAAAGAGCTGTATGTGAGAGCGAAGGCAGAAGATAAAGAATAATCCCTAAAAGAGATGCTGGAAGACATGCCACTGTACTTAATGAAAACAGTTGGAAATCCAATTTTCAGCATGAAAGCAGGTTTTTTTTTCTGTTAGAATTATCAGGAAATTAAGAACACAGCACAGAATTAATGCAGGACTTATGGGAACAATTAATAGAAATATAGATAAAATTGTTAATCTAACATCCATTTTGCACTGTTATTGAATCAAGCTGATTTGTGTAAAATTAACAGAGTAGGAAATAATTGATTTTTGTTTTTGTAAAATGTAGTGGTATGCAGAATTTTTTAAAAAAATCTTGATTGTTCACTCAATAATTATATCATGTGCAATTTGTTCACCATAGTGTCTCTGTTCATTCCTGCTCAAATGCTATCTGTAGTTCAGCTTAAAAAAGACTGCAACAGGATGCCAGATAAACTTATCCTGACATGTAGTAGAATCATAGAAATGTTTAGGTTGAAAAAGCCTTTTAGGATCATTCAGTTCCACCAGTCACCCAGCACTGTTAAGTCCATCACCAAACTGTCCCTAAGTGCCATATCTACATGTCTTTGAAATATATCCATTGATGGTGACTGCACCAACTACCCTGGGCAGCCTGTTTTATAGGGTTGTTTCCTTCTGGTGAGGAAATTTTTCCTGATGTCATCTAAGCCTCTCCTGGAACAACTTGAGGATATTTCCTCTTGTCCTGCCAGTTGTTATTAGTGAGAAGAGACCAACCTTTACCTGGCTACAACCTCCTTTCAGGTTATTGTAGAGAACCATATGGTCCCCCCTGAACCTTCTTTTCTCCAGGCAAAACAACCCTAGCTCTTTCAGCTGCTCTGCTCCTCTTGTGCTCCAAATCCTTCCCCAGCTCCATTGCCCTTCTCTGGACACACTTCAGCCCCTCAGTCTGTTTCTTATAGTGCAGGGTCCAAACCTAAACCCTGGACCTGAGGTGCATCCTCACCAGTGCCCAGTATAGGGGGACAGTCACTTCTCTAATCCTGCTGGCCACACTATTTCTGATACAGGCCAAGATGCCATTAGCCTTCTTGGCCACCTGGGCACACACTGGCTCATGTTCAGCTGCTGTTGACCAGCACTCCTGGTCCTTTTCCACTGGGCAGCTCTCCAGCCACTCTGCCCCCAGCCTGCGGTGGTGCTGCTGGGTTGTGACCCAAGGGCAGAGCCCAGCACTTTTCCATATTGAACCTCATACCATTGGCCTTGGCCCATAGATCCAACCTGTCCAGATCCCTTTGCAGAGCCTTCCTACCCTCCACCAGATCAGCACTCCTGCCCAGCTTGGTGTCTTTTGCAAACTGAGGGTACCCTCAAATCTCTCATGCAGGTAATTGATAAAAATATCAGCAAGGACTGGCCCCAGTACTTAAGACCTGGGGAACACCATTAGTCATTGGCCACCAACTGGATTTAATTCCATAGTATAATAATAATAATGTGATAGAAAAGTTATTTGAAAATGTGGTAGGAATTAGCACAGCTTTTCTTTGCTTGCTAATCATAGGTATTACTTCTCTTAACTTACTGAATAAAGTGACCACTCTAGAAAAGCTGAGAAATTGTATTTGCCAGTTGTGCAACAGAATAAGCTACGATTCTTTTAAATTTACAGGTGAGTTTTATGTACTAGTTTGAGTACAATTCTGTGGCTTTAATTTCTTTTTAAGTCTCCACATTTTTCCTGGGACTAGAATTATTTGAGGTAAGTGATTATTACATAGGAACACTAGGGGAAAATAAAAGCTTTTTCTAATGCAAAATATAATTACTGTTTAAAAATGAAGAAAAAGAGTGCTGAAATACCAGTTAGAAAACACTAATAGAAGTCAATTTGATGAATTTCCAACACCTTTTCTACATATATGGGAATTATGCTTGCTGCCCACTTTTTTCCAAATGTGCTCAATGATACACAAAACTGATACATTTCTACTGAGATTTATTATTCTTAATTTGCCTGTAATATTTACAGAAATTAATAAATATTTCATAAAGTCTTAGATCATGACTGTTTGTTTATAGGACACTGCTCTACAAAAACCAAGAGAAGTTTTCAGGCTACCTACAGACTTGACTGCGTGTGATAATCGCCTTTGTGCCTCAATGCATTTCTCATCCTCCACGTGGGTTACCCTTTCTGATGGTACGGGAAGACTGTATTTAATTAAATCAGGCAAGCGTGGAAGCAGTGCATCTGAAAAGTGGGAGGTATGTCCTGCAATAAATAATATATTTAGAAGCTGTACATATATACCTATCAAAGTTATCTAATTGCATTAATAATGGTATTTATTATCCTGCTTGGACACAACAAATACAATTGTTACATTTGTACCTGAAGCTTGAGTCTCATGTTCTGTGGTTAATTCCTTTTTGTTTATGAAGATGAATCTGGTAAAAAGTGCCTGCATTTTGTATTTGTTTTCTTTATTAGAGGGTAGTTTCCTAAAAAAACCACAGATGTTTTAGTGTTAACAGAAACATAGGTGTATATACTGAAATGGAAGATTTCCAACATGATGGATTAGCTCCTTTCTCTACATCTTTTGAGAGTTCAGTAAAGTAAATTGATCATCCTTTTTTTAGATGCTTGGTAATAAATACCATCTGTTTTTTATTCTGTGTGAGAATGCTGACACATAAATAAGTTACATTGAAGTTGTCAGTGAAACAAAAATACGAGATTTATGTCTAAGGTTCTGTCATCATTTAAATTGACTTGTTGAGTATGTACAGCATGCAGTGGTTTAGAGTTGTTTAGAGTAGTATCACAACGCTGTAAATCCTCAAACTTTATCAGGTTTCAGTAACAATAGCTGGATTGAGTCTATACTCATTCAACTGCTGCAGCATGAATTCTTTGTAATTTATCCTTTCATTTGTTCTTTCGTTGTCATGTGTTAATCTTCTAGCAAATAATGCTTTTCTTCTTCTCTGTTGTTTGCATTAATTTTGTTTTTACCTTCAGTTTTGTGCTGAATGAGTACTTTTGGAAAAAAGCTGGAATACATTGTTTTTAGATTTAAAACTTCCAGCTATAGGTACCAAATGTTTCATGCTGTAAGATATGGAGTCCTTCTGCATAAAATTAATGAAATAATTTTCATATTATAGAAATAATTTTAATGAATTAATGACATTTATAACTTTAAGTTCGTAATTAATGACATTTTATATTCACAATGATATCTAATAGCCTTTCAGTATGACAGTAATAGTTATGTGTTCTGCCTACCTAATTCAAATATTGAAGGGATTTTTCCAAACCATGTACATAAATAAAAATTCAAGAACTTCTAATCCTAGCTTCTCCTGAACATGAATATTATTCTCCTTCATTTCATTATAGCTTTTCGTTTCTTACTTTATAGAGGAGGAAAATCGGATCTCTTGCAAAGCTAAATAATGGCACATTTGGGGATTGAACACTGGCAATGATGCTTTGGACTTTTATGTCTTCTTTTTTGCACATGTCAAGGCCTACAAAGATTTTCAGAATGTTGAAGTATCTAGAGAACTAGTGCGAGCCTTGGGGAAATGCTTGCATTTTCATCTTGAATGTGACTGGTTGCCCAGTTGACAGGCAGTGTTTATGGACCCTCTTGCTCTCATCACTTGCTGTGCCTCTGTTTATTGCAGTGCTAAACAGCCACAACACAGACAGGCATGGGGATCTTTGTGCTTTGTTTATTGGGCCCTTATAATGATTGATCAATCTAAACAATAATGTTTAAAAACATTTCAATACAGTAGCTTGATAACTACAGAAGGAGGAGCCAGAAATGTTTGACATTTGTGGGTTCACGTTGGCAGAGAGATTTGTGGGAGACAAACTGCTGCTGATTTGACATTCACTGAAACCCTTCCCTGCTTTCTGTAAAAGAACAAGGTTTCCAGCTTTAACTGTCTGACTTTTTATTATGTTTTTGTCTTCTAGATTGTGTTTAATGAAGAACTAGGAAGTCCATTTATTTTAGCACACAGTGTTTCATTTGTAAAATCTGATGCACATTCACTAGCTGTGCTGCTGCTTAGGGTAGAAAAAGATGAACTGGACACAAAAGGAAGTGGATTTCATGTTACTTTGGAATGGGTTACAATTGCAGAAGGAAAAGAGGGTAAGTGTTTCACATTTATATTACTCTAAGTAGTGTTTAAAAAAAATAAAGATCATGTTTTTATTCGTTGTCTTAGAAGTTATTTTTCCACAGGTTCTGATATTTCTTTTCCACAGCCTAGATTTTACATAGGTAATTTTTTTAATATTTTGAGATCAAGTTATTTGTGATAGACCTAAATTTTGACAGACATTTGGAAAACAGGAAAAAGTAAAGTTTTGCGCTTGTGTCATTAAGATAATTAGAAAACAAGATAGCACTTTACTTGAATATTGTGAAATGCAATTTCTGTTTAGCTTGTAAAATCAAGGTTATACAGAACTATTTCTAACGCTGTATTTTTAAAAATATTGTATAGCTGAATATGGGTCTTTGATTATGGTTTTTTTTGTGGTGTTAGCTTCCAATTAATGATGTAGGGGATTGGAAGTAGTATGAGATAAATGTAAGACCTGTAGCATATGAAGTAAATACTGTATATTCTAGGTTTTCCTGCAATAAGAGTGTGAAGTTATTCCAATAATTTTAGACCAACATATTGAAAAAATACTAGTTAGTGTATTAATACCTACTAATTAATATTTTATCCTAATAAAGTTTTGCAGATGATACTTTATATATTCAATATGACAATTTAATGCACATATATGAATATATATGTGCATTAAATATCATGACTTACATGAAGGATACAAGACCCCATGTGTCACTGATTTAAAGATGTGTGGATTAAATTAATAGACATTCTTAGAATGACTGTGATATGGTCTTGCTCATTATGTTCCAAGAAATAAAATTTTAATATTGACAGACGCAAGATCTTTAAGTAGTTGAAGTAAAGCTTTGAAGCATACTGTGATGTTATTAGCCAAATGTTCTTCCATCTCCTACATACATAGTATGGATAACATAGCATGGAATAGATTAGTTCATTTGGAAGTGACCTACAACTCTCATCTAGTCCAACTGCCTGACCAGTTAAAGCCTCTTGTTAAGAGCATTGTCCAAATGCCTCTTAAACACTGACAGATGGGGTTTTGACCATCTCTCAAGGAAGCCTGTTCCAGTGTTTAACCACCCTCTCAGGAAATAAATGCTTCCTAATGTCCAGTCTGAACCTCATCTGGTGCAGCTTTGAACCATTCCCATATGTCCTGTTACTGGATACCAAGAAGAAGAGCTCAGCATTTCAATCTCCACTTCCTCTCCCTAGGAAGACCATAGACAGCAATGAGGTTGCCCCTCAGCCTCATTTTCTCCAAACTAGACAAGCCTGAAGTCCTCACCTAGTCTTGACAGGGCATTCTTTCCAGACCTGTCACCAGCTGTGTTGCCCTCAGTGGCTTCAGTTGTTTCCTGCTGTTGAAACCTTGGATGATGGAAATATTTCTCAGAAAGCCACATGAGACTAACTGCCTTATGCTTTTGTGGCAAGCTCAACAGGAGAAAGAAACCTCTGAACATTACTGTTTATAACTTAGAAGAAAAACTAAATCAGTAACGCTGTCAGTATACAATTGAAGACTGTTACTCATGAGAGCACTAACACAGACTTTTATTATACATTTTAATACTGTACACTTTAATAAAAAAATTATTTTTTACATTGTATGTTTTATAACTTATGACAAATATTCTTGGAGTTGCTAAAAGTGGATTCAAAAATCTTTCAAAAACTCTAGCCAGTTATCCAGCATTTCCAGGGAACCAATGTTTTGGGAATTTTTTCCAGGGAAAAAATGTTTGAAATGACTGTTAGTAGAGATGCAAATAACGAAATTCAAAGGAATCTTTAATTATAAAGAGAGAAATATTTTTTTTATTTCATTTAAACAAATATCTCATTAATCAAACTGATGTATGAACCAGTCTCAAAGATAAAAGCTGTTTTGAGGAATTACAATACTCTACAATCTCTTTTATCAGTACTCAGTTGCTGTTGCTTGCCTTTCCTTGAAACTCTGTCTGTGTGTCATGGATTGACTCTGGCACAGTGCCAGTGCCCCCATGAAAGGTGTATTTACGGCTGGGCACCTTGCCCTCACCCCCCACCCCTTTCTCCTCCTGACCGTGGTGCCGGTACATGATACCAAATTTCCAGTCTGCACAGTCTCTTTATCCTTCTCTCCCGGGGGGGCTGCCCAAACCACCAAATTTCCAGCCTGCGCAGTCTCTTTATCCTTCTCTCCCGGGGGGGCTGCCCAAACCATCCCAGGTCTCCTCCACCCCTGCACCTTGCAGGGCTCCGGCCCCTCTCAGGCCACATGGCCTCCCCCTCCCTCTCTCAGACGCAGCTGGGCAGGGGAGAGGATCCGATCTGCTCACCTGCCGGACCCCAAAGAGGAAGTCTCTCTGGGAGTGCTCTGCTTTTAACCCCTGTGTGTTCTCAGAGGCGTATCCAAGTCCCCAGTGGCCACACCAGGTGCCATTTAAAATCTGGCCACTGATTGGTTTGACCATAACTTTCCCAAAACCTCACTTCCTGGTCAAACCACGACACTGTGAATGCAGTTTATGAAATCAGATTTTAGTAAAAGTAAGCAGTTAATCAACAAGCCATTTCTTAAATTATCAAAATCTGTGCTTCATCAAAGCAAAGCCTTAAAACATGGTTATGTCGACACCAACAAATGCAAAATCTCTGCCCTGTTTGGCAGACTGAACAAAGGGATTGTACCTCTATTGCGTTACCAAAGAACAAAAGAATGGAAACATGAAAATAAACCAGAATGGGGGCAGTGGTTAAGTCTTTTAATATCTTCTGTGGTACTTCAAAGGATTGTAACAAAGCTATATTCTTCCAAAGTTGGTTTTCTTTCATTAACCAAACTTCTAGGAATACTTGCTGTAAAAGTTTGAAATGAGGAACCACCATGCTGCCTTATGAGATTCAGAAAATGTGACATGCTTAGCTTTCTTCTGACCTTCTCTACAAGAAAAATATTATTTGTACAGAGGGTGTGCTGGGCTAGCTGTGATCAGCAAAGATCTCATAAGAATAAAAGGCAGTCTTAGATTAATCCAGTATAACTCACTGGAAAACCATGGTACTGTGATTCAACAGGTGGGAATGCATAGTATTTTTAAATTTAATGTGTTCCTTAGATAATAATTTGTCTTCTAGAAATATGATTTTTTAAAAATTTTATTTTACAGGTGATCATAGATACGAAATCATTAAAAGGAGAGTTTTGCAAGGAAAATCAGTCCCCCATTATGCAGCAATAGAGCCAAGTGGGGATGGTCTAATGATTGTTTCCCACAAACCATTCACATTTATGCAGAGTGAAAGTGACAAATTAGAAGAAAATGATGATGCAAAAGTATCAAATGAAAAGAAAGGTAAGACTTAGTCTGACAGGTTATGATAGGCTGCTCTCTTCTTTGACTTAGGACATATGTTGTTAGTTTAGCATTTGTTTGGAATAGCAATAAATGTTTTAATATCTATCTTGTGGACAGATTGATTTTTGTTTGTTTGTTTGCTTTTACTTTTGGCAGTTGTATTGTGCACAAACCTATATTAGGTGCATTTTTTTGGATAGGAGACACTTAAAGAATTTTGTTGTCTTAAAGAACAAGATATTTTGCAGACAGACATGTAATAAGTTTTTGGTATTAGTTGGATTGCTAATGCCTAAATTTTGGCATCTGTCTGAAGTACTCAAATTAAGAAACCAGTCTTCCTAGATGGAAGGAGGCCATGGACTTCCCCAAACTCATCAGAAGCTCATCAGAAAGCTTTTTGATATGTAATTTATTCCTGCTTCTGTAAAATTTAAATAGTTATTTTGAAAAATCTTTTTAAAGAATGAGACTCTGTAAAAGATTCTATTTTCTCGAGTGGGAAAGCCGTTCAGAAAATCTTCAACAAAATGTAGTCATACCTTTTTTTCTTTGCAATCAAAACAAAACTAAGTATGTAAAAACCTATTAATAGAGTTGTTTATTTCTAAGTATCACTAAGCTCTGTAATTAATGTCTATGTTTATGTAATTACATTGGATTATTTTACATTTGATTTCTGTTTCTGCATATGAGGCATTGGTTAGTAAACAAATTCTACTAAATTCTATCTAAGGATAGTAGCACAATATTTGTCAATAGTGTGAAAATCTATTTGAAAAACAATACAAAAGGATCAAATTTCTGGAATGTGTTAATGTTAAACACTGTGGCAACTGTGATATTGTACATGTAATTTTATTAAGAATAGACTGTACATATAAATCTTGAGGCAAAGGAGTGCACTGAGCACCATAATGCAGTTGCCTTTTGCTAACCCTAATGTAGGCTCTAGTTTTATTTGCACAGTTATATAAAATTGCAGGTGTAATGGACTTTTAATCTCAGATACAGTTTGTGTCAGTGTTCACAATTCTGAAGTCTGTCATGTCTCAGTTTCTGGGGAAGTAATTACAGCGCCTGTGACTGATCCATTGCAACCAGGGCAGTTGGTGTTGCAAAGGGCAACAGTGCAGGAGTCCTTCCAGAGTCACAGTATGGGGCTTTGATCAGTGGAGTCTTGGGCTGGGTTGTGACAATTTGAGAGCTTTCAAGGGGAACCCATACTTTACGTTTTCTCAAAATAAAAAGGTAACTTGTACAAGATTGCTCTTTAGAAAATATATTCACTTGTATTTATATTTTCTGTGCATTACCCACTTATGCTGTCATAGCCTTCCTTTTGTATAAAAATTTCTCTTAAAAGGCCATTTCTTCTAGCAGTTTAGTAATCAGACAGCATCTAAACACAGTAATAAAAGTCGATCACTACCTCTGGGCAAGCAGTTCTATTTCATCTCCATTAGCTGAGGCAGATTAAGACTACTTAGTCTTATAATTTCTATTGAGTAGTCAATGTAGCTTCTGGCAAAATATATAAGTAAAACTGTTCACATCTCTGAATGATATATACTTCTAGCATGCAGTAGCTTGTCACAGAATCACTAAATTGGAAGACACCTTCAAGATCATCAAGTCCAACCCAGCCCTAACATCTCAACTAAACCATGGCACCAAGTGCATCCAGTCTTTTCTTAAACACATCCAGGGATGGCAACTCCACCACCTCCCTGGGCAGACCTTTCCAGTACTTACTGTATGCCTATTTCCATAATAAACATTTTCCTAATATCCAACCTGTATTTCCATTAGCACAGCTTAAGACTGTGTCCTCTGGTTCTGTCAGTTTCTGCCTGGAGAAAGAGACCAAACCCCACCTGACCACAACCACCTTTCAGGAAGTTGTAGAGAGTGATAAGGTCACCTCTGAGTCTCCATTTCTGCAGGCTAAACAAGCCCAGCTCCCTCAGTGGTTCCTCACAGGGCTTGTGTTCCAAGCCCCTCACCAGCCTCATTGCCTCCTCTGGATGTACTCAAGTGTCTCAGTATACTGCACCTGATGTCTCCTCAACCTAATTATTAATCATTAATGTTTCATTGTATTTAAGTACATTTTGCATTCCAATTTCATAATGCTACAGTAAACTTTGGGGTAATAATTAATGCCCATTGTATAACTGTCAGCATATGTGAGTATAGACATGAATATAAATTACTTTCCAAATGAGGGGCACAACATGGATTTGATTACGAAAAAGGTGTTTCTCTATTTTATGTTCAGAATTTTGTGTAAATTGTTCAGAGTAAAAGTTACTTCCACTTTTTCAAAGCACACTTTCAGAAAATTCCATGTGTCTCAGCACTGAATGCTGTGGAATCCAGTAATCCTTGTAACCTAGTTTGTGTTTTGCTGCATGTTTCCAATTGTAGACCCTCTCTACTCCTGGCAGCAGACGGAAGACGATGTGACCGTAACAGTTCGCCTGCCTCAAGACATCACAAGAGATGACATAAAAATACGTTTTTCCCCTGATAATATATGTGTTACCCTAAAAGACCAGCCTCCTTTGATGGAAGGAAAGCTCTATTCATCTGTGGACCACGAAAGCTGCACATGGATAATTAGAGAGGACAAAAGGTATTCTATAAATGTTTTAGGTTTTTTATTGATAGGAACTGATTTTAAACCATATGCCATATCTGACTTCTGGCCCTTCTGGGATGGTCTCATTTAATGCTACACCCCATGTCCCTTCTTGCAAGAATGTCTCCTCTCCTGAAAACACTTCACTGGCTTTTGCTGTCTCAGTAATGTTTCTTTATCTAATTGTGAAAGTAATCCCTTTCTATGCAGTTATTTTCCAGGGAAAAAACCCACCCAGTATCAAAATGGTAAACAAAGATTTGTAAGAAGAGTAAACTTAATTGGTTCAACAGTAATTTTTTTCACTATGTTTCAGGATTGATTAGTCTGAATGTACCTTGTTATATGTGTTAGTTTCTCTTCTGTTTTCCACAAACAAGCATTTTAGTAATATTACAACAAAATTCTTTAGGTTTGACTTATAAATTCCTTAATATATTTTCCCAAAAAAGTTATATATTATGTGCATTATAGAAAATTAATCTGAGTGAACTTAAAATGCTGTAGACCTCAAATAGAAATTTTCCTGCTTTTATTTGAAAAGTTACTTTTATGTGCTTTTCTCATTCTGAAATAAAAATATAAAAGAATGGAGAGGGTGCAAAAAAATAATTCAGAGCTCCCTAAAACATAGTCAGGTTTTTCTTTGTGCATTGTCTAGTTTTCATACTCTACCTGAAATGAGCCATGTATTCACTCATCCACGCTGGTCTGGTTATCTCAGAGATATTCACACTCTTTAATGAACTCAGGAAGAAACATGTACACCACCAGGTGATCCACTCAACAGCTCACAGCTGTTTATCTAAAACAAAAGCTACCCTTCGAGTTGTGATAAGGTTGGCTTTTTGCAGTTTCCGAAAGGTTAACTGTAAAGGACAGTAATTCTCAAAAAAAAAAAAAATTAGAGGGACTAATATTTTTATATAGGTTATACTGTTACTGTATATTAAAATTTGACTGATTGAAATGGGTGGGGTTGTTTTTTTTTTAGGTGTCTTCCTGAAAAATAACTCTGAATAACTTGATTTTTTTATAAGCTGAATTACTTGATTTTTTTTATTATTCATTCCAGTGAGTGTTACTGCATGAATATCAGGCTTTTACTTTAATGAGAAAGGGTAATTCCGTATTTCAATGTAATAAGTTGCACTCAGTTCTTAATGCTCGTACTGCAGCACTGATATAAATCTTTTGACTGAAAGTCAAAAACTTGCTCCAAATGTCTTCTGTAGAAGTATGCTGTTCCTAGTACCAGTGTAATTGCTTCAGAGTTCACTAAATAGTTGCTGCTGTGGTGCAGTAATGAGTAACTTAGCGGGTTTTCTCTCAGGAGCACTACAGCTGTCATTGCTGCAGAACCTGTAAGTGTATCTAAAAAGTGAGTATGATAAAATTGACTTCAGTTTTACCATTATATCTATGTGTTTGTCCAACACAGTATTTAAATGGAATTACCATGTTGGTGCATCAGGCTGTGTCTTATTTTTCATTTACTTAATTAGTTATTCCAAATAGTTTAGTGATTATACTCGGTTCTCTTTGTTGTTGTTGGGGTTTTTTTTTACTTGTTATGGAAATCTTATCTCTTCTGGGATACTGTTTTAGATAGACAGTATAGATAATTGATGTATTATTTCTGAGGTCTATAAAATAGGAATCTTTTTGTCCCAGATGTTATTTAGAGGTAGGGCACTTAAGTAGCCCTAAGAACTACTGCTTATGTTTCAAATACACTTCTGTAGTAAAACTCTGACAGTCTTTGAATAGATTGCTGTACAAGTGATTTCCTGCCATATTTTAAATATTTTAATGAGACTGCTTCAGGATAAACTACACTTACATTGAAAACCCTGAGGTTTGTGTATTAGAAATCACATCCTTGGTTTGGTTTTCTTTAGAATATTTTTTATTAAAATAGTTTATTTTATAATTTGAATGCTAATGGTTTCTGTTACATGATTTTCCTTATTAATTCAGTTTGAAGAGAAGGGCTCTTACGTACATTTATAGCTTTTTGACTAATTGACAAATGGATGTAGTGTTTTCATGTGCTACTCTTTGTCTTTTCTTTGCATTTTAGTTTGGAAATCTCTCTGATTAAGAAAAATGAGGGATGCCGGTGGGCAGAGCTAATCATTGGTGACACAAGAGGGGAATTCATTATGGACCCTTCCCAATGCTCTGAAATTGCTGAAAGCCTGATGCATCTTACTTCTGAAGTAATGGTAAAGAGTCAAGAATCAAAGACTTAAAATTCTTGTACTTTTGCATGTTGTCTTTTCTTGTTACCCTAATTTGCGCTGCATTGACCCAGCTCATCAGTTCTTTTGCTATTTATTAATTTTCAATTGAAACTGTAACAAACTACTGGCACTAGACTTGTGAATGTACTTTGAACAGCAAAATCATCTTCAAGGAGGACTGAATTTAACATGTATGATGGTGTCTGTGCACGAAACAGAAGCCTGATTAACACTGAAAATAAACTTTGTTCCCACCATTTAGGGTGTGCCAGTTAGTTTTAAAGCAATCAATTAAATGATTTTGAAAGATGTCCAGTTCTTGTTTATCAATAGGTTAGCAAAAATTTTTTACTGTCTTGCTAGGGATACTGTACTTGACCTACAGAGTGTAAATGATATGTTTAAAAGGAAAATTTAGGAAACTATAAACATGGCTCATGAACTTTCTGGCGTTTTTGTTATACAGGAAGTCTACTTAAAGTAAAATGTAATTTTTAGCTGATATTCACTTGATACTTTTTAATTAGAAAATGGCATCTCATCTGAAACTTGTGAGTTGTGCCTCCCTGTGGCTTTTTATATACTAGGTTTGGATTATTACTTTGTTTTTAGTAAGTCTGAAAAGTGTTATTAAAATAAATTCTATGTAGTACTCCAGATTGACTTCTCTCTATCTCAGTATTTGTGAGCAAGATATTGTAGTATATCTTTTGACCATAGATTTTTTTTGAACTTTAAATTTCTTTTCTCATGTACTTCCTACTGAGCTTAAAGTGATGATTTTTTAATCATAAGTTTTAATTAATTTAAAAGAGATTTAAATAAATTAAAATTAATAGCAAAACTAAAATGTGTCATGTATTTAGAGCTGCTTATAAAATTAATTAATATATTTTTAATTGCATTACTGATGGCAAGATGAAACAAGCTTACGTTGATGTACATTTACTAAATGTGCATATGTTTTCAGGATTGTATGCTTTTGCTACTTAGAGAATTATTTGGAATAATTTGGAATTTATCGTCCATGTTTTAGTGGCTTATGTACCTTTCCTCAAACTGAAGTTGATTTTATTGTACCTATCACTTCTGCTGTCCTCCATGGCAGAAAGTGTTTTATTAATTTTGAGTAAGTACATAATAGCTTAATCTTTCAGTATGTATGGATATGCAAATAAGTCTTCATGTTCAATTGTTCTTTAGGTTGTTTTTTAAATTATAAAAAGGATTCTTTTTTTTTTTTCAGTGGTTTGGATTTTCAGTGTAGTTCATTCTTTTTTTCAGAATCCAAACCCTGAAAAGGAAAAGCCACCTTGTAATGCTCAAGAGTTAGAAGAATGTGATGCTTTTCTTGAAGATGGTGCAAGCTTGTGCAGATTTGATGGTGATACCTTGAAAATCACTCATATAGTAAGTACTGTACATTATTATAGAAATACTTTAAAACTTTTTTTTTTTTTTTTGTTTGGAAATCGATCTCTATTGTCAGTACAAAAATTCAGCCTGTTCTATGAGAACTTGCAGTTTTGTCCTTGTTAGAGTATGCAGAAATATGAGTATTTCAATATATTTTTCAGCATACAGGAATATATTTTCACTTTGATTTAGTTCTTCTTTCAAGTTGTTTGGGGTTTCTTGTTAGTAATTATGGGGCCTTTCCCTTCAGAAATGGGGCTGGTACAGCTTTTTACCCACAACTCCTAACAAACATTTTTATTGAAGGGTGTGCTAATCTGAAATATAGTAGTTACTTGATTGCAAGTAAATTAAAAAATGATGGCATTTAATAATTTTAGTATTCTAACTAATCCTTGTTTCAGTGCCTGCCAGCTTCTGCCCGAGAGGGACAGTATTTCCTTCCCCGTTAGCACTGCAGAAAACCAGATGTGGTTACTTAGAGAGAGTCTTTTCCTGACATGAGAAGTTGTAGGTTAGGATCTGTCCTAGAAAACCATTTCTGCACAAAACACATTCCCATTTGCTTATGTAGTGGACATAATGTTTCTCTGAATATTACTCCAAGAAACTTAATTGCATCTCCTTGAAATGTGTAAGGCACCTGTGGTGTATTGAACTGTTGATCAGTGGAATGCAGCATAATGTATTCAAACATTTTGTCAAGTAACAAACATAAAACTGTTGATCATCTAAGTTTGGCAGTATGTGTAACAGAATCTGCTGTTTGTGCTTTGAATCAATATTTTGTATTTGTTTTGTTTTCAGATTAATCTTGGAAGCAACCAGTATCTTTTCTCAGTTGTTGTGAATCCCAAAGAAATGCCATGCTTCTGCCTGAGGCATGATGTTGATGCTCTTCTCTGGCAGCCTCACTCTGACCAGCCAGAGAATATGTGGGAACACATTGCAACTTTTAATGCTTTAGGTAAGAAATTAACTTCTGTGTCACACACCTCTGAGACTTTTCTATGTGAATACTGCTGGTATGGCTTATGTTGATATTTCACTTACTTAAATCTGAATTGAAAGTTATTATAATTCTGTTGATAGCAGCATGGTAGCTTGTTGCATATAGGTAAAACCTTATAGAAGAGAGCCTTGTAAGACATGGCTTAGGCCTTGCTGTTATGGCTAAGCTAGCCTGTTAAGTTCCCATGAGAAAAGAATCATAAGAATGAGAATCAGTTTGCATAACAATCTATTTTTGTAAGAAAATAGTTTGCACCTGTGAAAACAAGAAGTCTATCCCATGAGAATCCATGAAGGAAATTTGCAAACTGTCTAGAAAGAGGGAGGTTTGATGATGTACACTGTCCATTTACCAAGCAGTGAAGTGAGTTTCAGTGGGTTGTTAACCAATTAGAGGTAAACATGGTGCCTTCTGATACCATGCAAAAATGAGTTGTGTGCAATAAAAATTCAGCTATTAGGCACAAAGAAAGAAGTGTCTCGTCTCATTTCTATCTCTAACACAAGGTCAACAGTGACAGTAGCCTAATTTTAGAAATAAGAGAACATAGAAATGAAATGTTTATGCCCTGGGAGAAAGACAAGCCTTTTCAGACCATGTATAGGATGTAAGCACAGAACTGCATAGTAAAAAGGAGAGTTCCTTGGATAAGTGACCTTGAATTAGACACTGAAAAGCATAATCACCACCTTGACATTGACACAGACATCATCAGGGCAATAGCTGCAGTTAATTGATTATGTGTCTACGTGTGTAATTTTATGGTAAGGTGTGTTAATAAGTGACCTTTAGATTTTTCCTTGTTGACCCATGTGATAACCATTGGCTTGCATTTTTCAATGGAAGTGAAGCAAATAACCTTGCAGAAAGATGGTGGATCACTTTGCAGAATTACATCTCAATTCTCTTTACAGAAGTGTGAAAGGAAATCAGTCTGAATTGAGTCAATTTGATACCAGAGTCCTGTTATGAAAGTGGAAAGGGGAGGATTTTTTCCTTCTGAGTGAATATTAACAGAAATTATACTGTGTTTAAAATTAACTTCTTTTTTTTTTTTTAGTGAGTTTTAAACTGAAGACAAGCTTTAAGTGTCTGTTCAAGATTAGATAGGCTCAGAAATCCTAATTTTTAAATGTAATTACACTCTGGGAGATGAGGAGAGAGAAGAGATTTATTCTTCTTAGACCACTAATATTGGGCCAAGTTTGCCCATATGGACCATGTCTGTGGCCTTATGATCCTGCTGAGGAAATGAAAGACCTTGTGAGGCAGAAAGGAGCCAGATGTGGGAAGAGTATCTTGCTGTACATATGTATCCAAAACACCAGTTAACATGAGGTACACGGGAATTGTATATTGGTATCAAACTGGTTAATGCATCCCTTCAGAAAGTACTGGCTTATGTAATAAGAGTAGTTTGGTGGTTTGGGGTTTTTTTTGTTAAGGTTGGGTTTTGTTGATTGGTTGTTGTTCTTGTTTGTTTTGGGGTTTTTTCTGTTACAAATTGCATATTACTAAGTTTAGCTTAGGTTTTTATCAGCCAGTTAAAGTTCTGTTGAAACCCATATATTACTTATCCCTTGTACTTGGTTTTGGGCTATACAGGTTATGTCCAAGCATCAAAGCAAGACAAGAAGTTCATGGCTTGTGCTCCAGATTACTCCTACGCGGCTCTTTGTGAATGCTTGCGAAGAGTTTTCATCTATCGCCAGCCGACTCCTCTGGCCACAGTTCTCTACAACAGGAAGGAAGGAAGACAAGTAGGACAGGTTGCTAAGCAGCTGGTAGCAACCCTGGAAGCCAATGATCCTATCTTAGGCTTTCAAGCTACGAGTGAGAGATTATTTGTTCTCACAACAAAAACCTTGTTTTTAATAAAGGTGAACTCTGGAAATTGATTATTCAGTGTGCTCTGCTGTAGTTTGTGTTAACAATTTGTTATAGAATTGAATAGGTTGACAATCTTACAAGTTCAGTACAATTTGCTGAAAATCAAAAAGGGGATGTTTTACAGGAGAATCAAATTTCTTTGTTAGAATTCTTCTGTAAAAAAGTGAGTTTTTTGACTTTGTTGCCATGGAAGTAAACTTTTTCAGAGCTATGGGAAAAGGTCTTCTGCATTAACATCTTTGTCAAAATAATTGTCAGATGCTGCTATTGCATAGGTGAATAGATTTATGCATTGCTTTTTCCAAGTGACTTTATTTGCTATACTTCTGAGTTTTTTGAATTCACTGCTGTTTTTAAATGCCACTGTTTACCTATGAAAAAAGTAGTCAGATAAAGAGTTACAAGCATATGACATGCCAAGTAGATTGTATCATAAAGAAAAAAATTTCCAGTTCAAATATGGTTGACCAAAAAACTGATTTCACATTTTGATATTCAGTAGTTTTGAGTGAAATGTGAGTGAAATGAACAGGGTATTATGTTTCTTATACAGGTAATAAAATGGAGCAATTTTACTGTATGTGCACATTTTAAATTATTGGTTTGGGACTTGTTTATACTTGCAGTAAAGTCTGTTCACATTTCTAGAATACGTTTTAGTAGCTTTTTCCAAAAGCAAAGTAAGGGTCAATGTATAGCTAGCAATTATACATCAAGTGCTGTTAGTTAAGGTCTTGTCATACTCTCAGTTGTGCCATTTTCATTTGACTTTATACTTCATTTCCAGTGACTCATTTACAATGAGAAAATGGCTGACAGAAAAAGTTCTGGTATTGTAACCTGGATGGGACACTCAGAGGTGCTGCTTCTGCCTCAGATGCCACTGAAAATGCTGCATTGTCAATTAACTGTTCTGTCTGTGATGCCTAAGTCAAAATGTGGTATATTTGCAATGTAAGAGCGCTCAGGCCAATGAGGATGCTTTGGTTTAACAGACTGCTATGGTTAATTGAGTTGAATAGTTCTAGCTGAAGATTTCTGTTTATTATTTTCAATTGGCATTGTCAATACATTTAAACCAAAGAGTCAGGTGTGACAGCCTCACGCTGGGCTGGGCTTTTTTCATAGTTGGCTTACAAATCCTTAGCAAAGAATGCCTAATATATTGTGTACTGACAGGAGAGCTGCTGTCATCTGTGGTACCAAAGTACTGAAGACCCAAATACAGGCAGCCTTTTAGTTTGCATCTCCCTGCCAATGTTATTTCAGAACTCTGTAAGAATCTATTGAGAGAAGAGTAAGTGTTTCTTTAGTTGTGATTGTTTTGACTCTCCTGTAAATTCTCCAGATTGTATCAGTGAACTGATTAAATAACAAGAGGGAGGCAAGCAGCTGTGGCTTGCAAAAAACATCCAAATGCAGAAGCTTTTCAAGGAACCCAATTTTCCTTCTCCTCACAGCAAGATTATATTGTACATCCAATATTGAAAAGCTTTTCTTTACTTTTAGTTGGGTAAGTTAAAACAGACTGGATTTGAAAATCTCTTTTCATTCTGTCCTTCTGAAACTGTCTTGAAAATGCTTTTTGGAAAAGCTCAGTGAATGTATTACCATTGCATGACTCTTTTGCATCTAAATTTTATTTGCTATCCAATAATGTCAATCAAGGTGGTAGAATTCTTGCAGAGGTCCTATAGAAAAAAAATGTGTAGCTTATTACTTTGCAGAATAAGTTAGGTGCTTTTAGACGTATATGGATATTACTTAGTAACCTGAGGTTTAATCTTTGGGGACACAGAATTAAGAACATGATATTTGGGAAATAGAGGAATGAAGAAGTAAAGGAATCATAGTCAACATGCCTTTGCCACCTCTGGTCTACTGCAGGCAGCTTCAGTATAGATGAGAATTTCAGCTGTTCTTTGTCAAATTCTTCTTGCTGTGAGTTACAAGTCTGGAAACATGCTCTGCCGTCTCCTGCAACAGAGGAACAGTCAAGTAAAATGCTTACCTCTTCAGTGGTATTACAATATGCAATGACTAGAACTCACATTCCAAATGCACGTCTGTTTCAAGGGAGTTCTTTGCATCTGGAAATAACACAGGGAAAAGGTTCATCCCTTTTCCATGTTACTCATCCATTTGTAATCATGGTTCCCAGGACCGATCTATCAAGTAGTCTCTCTCTTATTTTGCTTCTGTGAGAGTCAAGGATATTTTATTATTTAAATTATTTTTTACCTTGAGGAACCTGGAGTGCTGCACAGCAAGCTGCTAAGCACCTGAGGCAGGGTGATCCCAAGCACAAAAGCAGGCTGGGCCAAGAATGGATTGAGAGCAGCCCTGGAGAAAAGGACTTTGCATGCTGCTGGATGAGAGGATGGATGTGGCCCAGCAATGACATTAATGGGTTGGAGCAAGTCCAGAGGAGGGACACGAAGGTCATCAGAGAGCTGGAGAGTCTTGTCTATGACAGCAGGCTGAGAGAATTGGAGTTGTTCAGCCTGGAAAAGAGAAGTCTCTGGGAGACCTTAGAGCAGCCTCCTCGTACAAAAAGGGGGCCTGCAAGAATGTTGGAGAGGGGTTTTGGACAAGGGCATGGTAGGACAAGGGATAATGGCTTTAAACTGAAATTGAGTAGCCTTAGATTAGATACTGGAGGAAATTCTGTACTGTGTGAGTGCTGAGGCACTGGACAAAGTTGCCCAGAGAAGTGGATGCCTTATCCCTTGAAGTTCAGCACCAGACTGGATGGGACTTTGAGCAACTTGATCTAGTGTGAGGTGTCCCTACCCATGGCAGTGGGGTTGGAACTAGATGAGCTTTAAGGTCCCTTTTCCAGCCATTCTATAATTAAATTGCTGCAAGCCACCAGGAGACACTCCCTATCAGCATTTCCTTTTGTGTTCATTTACTACTAAGGCTCATTTCTTCAGCATATCCTAAATAGGCTTATACCAAGTATAAAATATGGATATTTTAAATAGATGGTTTTCTGACAACCATGCTTCAATTTTTCTAGGATTTTGTTTCTTGAAATCTTACTTTTTCAGACAGTTCTGTCTTCCTGAGAGGTCCCAATCACAATCTGTTGACAGAATTTCTGAGAAAATATTTGATTATTACAGGCTTGCTTGGCTGTTACTGCATTATTTGATTTCAGTATTCTTTGTCAGTGCTTTCCTTGACTGCATGTTAGGAATGCATAATGTATTCTTCCACAGGTTGAAATAAATAGAAGAAATTTTAAAATTTTTAAATTATTTTAAAGGATTTATATTCATTTCAAATATGTAGTCTTCCTATGTTGCTGAAATAAAATAGAAAATAGAAATAAGAAATTCCTTAAAGTAAAACTTGTGTTAGGAAGTTTTCTGCTAGGGCAAAGTTCTAGCAGGTGTCTGCTCTGCAGGGCCAGGGCTCTTGCCAAGACGTGCACTATTGTACTCCTTGTTTATCTCTGTGAAATCCCCTGTACAAGTACAGCCTTGCTGATGTTCCATTTCTGGCAACACACAAATTTACAGAGGTAGATACTGGAGAGGGCTGATAAGTATTCAGGTGTATTCTTGTGTTAAAGTGTACACTGTGCCTCTGATCCTCTGTCTTTTTTATGTACAAAATCCAGATGATCTGGACAAACCTTTCTAGGTGCAAGAGAGAGATCTGTCCTTCCTCTCCCCCTACCTCAACATGAGTGCTTTTTTCAGGAAAGTGAAGGAAAATAGGAATGATTTGGTCTATATGTCTGTCCTTTGTCAAATAGTGGCTCTTCTTTAATGAAACAACAAGGTCCTATGAGAGTAACAAGTAAGGTTAAAGCTTATATTTTATTTCAGTTTTATGTGCTTTGTTTCAATAATGAGCTGCTAGAACTTTTTCCATTTCCTTGTCTTCTGTCAATTTATGTTTTCTGTTCTCATTATGCAGATTAGATGAACTTGAAGCCTGCAGTCAATCATATATTAGCCATATAATAAAAATTTTGGTTTAAAATTCTGTGTCGTCAGTCCTATGTGCCATTTGTGACATATTTCTGGAAATCTGGTGGGATTTGTTTCCCCTCCTCCCTATGCAAATACATGTTAATTTGTGCTATGGATAAAAGTCAGCAAGGTCTAAAGATAACATGACATCTTTGACATAGAAGAGCCAAGCATCAAGCAAGCCTTTTCATCAAGACTATTGCAATCATTTCAAACTGAAGGTATAGTCCCTTTTTCTTGGAGAAGTGTTGGAGTAATAGTTTTTCCTTTATAAAAGGTTTAAGGTCCTTCTGAAAAACTTCCTTTACACAAAGATCTTTGTCATAAAGTGGTAGCTGGATATCAATTAAAATAGATCTAATGAACACTTTCAGATGCAAACGTGGAAAATATTTGTCATAGTCTTTGCCAATCTAATGCTCTATGCAAAATATCCTTTTTAAACCATTCCAGTGCATTTTTGCAATCTAATGTCAGTTGCAAGAAATTCTCAAGAAAAAAGACAGAAAAGCAAATTTTAAAAAATCATTTTAGAACATAACTTTTATTATGCTTTGATGAATTTACACTTTCTAATAGTGTATGTCAATAATATATTTCTTAATGTATTAGTTGCATTCTGAATGTGCAGGACTTGTGTGTGTGTACATTTGTATTTTCATCTGTAAATGCACACACCTGTGTGAGTTCATAATGCCTTAAGGTACTGGGAACGCTGAGGAGGCTTTTGGAGAGAGGAGAATCTTCTGACTTTACTGACAGCAAAGTATGGATTCTTTATTAACATGAGTCTGCCATACATGTGTTGTAATGTCATGATAACTGCTTTATGTGAAAACATCAGTCATGAATCCTCTGGTGGTTCCCTCTGCTGAGGATTAAATATGAGATATTTCAGTATTTCATTTTGCCCAAACTTAAACAGCTCAGAGGCCAAATATTGAGTAGATGCCTCAAGTTGACAGAATTGATGCAGATGTGATAAGCATTTCTTTTTATCAAAATAAGTGATGTTTAGAGGGAAAAGAAATAAGACACACTGAATACTAATTCAGTCACTTTCAGCACTGAAATTACAGCTGATTGGCCTTTAGTGATTTTTCTCTGTGAAGTTACTCATTCTTTCTGTTGCATGTGTCCCCTGTATTAAATGTAGAGTAACTTATGGTAATTTAAGGTTGAGCAATTTGTGGGAATTTTCTGAATAACTGAATTACGTTTGCATATGCGGTATCTAAAATACGAGCGTGAGGTACAAGATGGATGTACCTAGTCACGAAGAGACCAGGGACTCAGGCTCTTGATTTGATCAAGGGTTGATGACCATCTGAGCAGAAATAAAAGTTGATGCTTTAAAGACATTTTCATGAGTTGCAATTTCAGATTCTAAAAAGAGTAAAAATATGAGAATCATTATAGAATCCTAGAACGGTTTGGGTTAGAAAGGGCCTTGATGATCACCTAGTTACAACACTCCTGCCATGAGCAGGGGCACCTTTCACTAGACCAGGTTGCTCAGAGCTCTATCCAACCTGCGTTGAACAATTCCAGGGATGGAACATCCACAGCTTCTCTGGGCAATCTGTTCCAGTGCTCACCATACTCACAGTAAAGAATTTCTTCTTAATATCTAATCTAAACCTGCCTCTTTCAGTTTAATATCCTTATCCTTGTCCTAGTCACTGCATGTCCTTGTCCAAAGTGCCTCTCCAGCTCTCTCATAGGCTTCCTTTAGGTACTGGAAGGTGTTTAAGGTCTCCCTGGAGCCATCTCTTCTCTAGGCTGAACACTCTCTGCCTGTCTGCACAGAGGAATAAGCTTGCTTAGGCAAGATAAAACATACAAGGTTCCCTTTTAATATACAGGGCTGAACACTCTGCCTGTCTGCACAGAAGAATAAGCTTGCTTAGGCAAGATAAAACATACAAGGTTCCCTTTTAATATGCAATACTTTATTCAAAGCAGCTGGATCAGTCAGAAAGAGAACTTGTTTGTTACCAAGACCTCTGTTGTCATTTTCTTTGCATGTGGCAAGGGTAAGTCATCAGTAAAACTGCCTGGATGCTGGTGTGATTGGAGGCACTCTTTTTGTTCTTTTACTTACCTGGTGTAGCTCCAGGCAGTTGCTGCTGTCTGAAAAATTCAGTTAATAGTCCTATATGTATATAATTATAGTTACATAAAATATAGTTAATATTTATAAGCTGTAAGAATTGGCAGGTGTTAGCAACACAGTTCTGAGCCTCTTTGCATCCAATATGATATCTGATAAAATCTACCTTTAAAAAAACAAAAACAAAAACAAAAAAGAAGCCAAAAAAAGAAACCCCAAACAAACAAAACCCAGATAAAAAAGCCCAAACAAACAAAGAAACACCAAAAAAACCCAAAATACATAAAACTCAGACTGATTTATTTTTTCACTTTTTTTTGGGGGGGGGGGAGTACACCAATAATGTTTTTCTTTCTGCTCTTAGAAATGTTTTCCTGTGCTATAAAGAAAGATGCAATGTCCTCAAAGTTTAAGCCTCATGTTTCTTAATGTCGTGGGGACAGCAGGGTATCTGTCACTGATTCAGTTGGGTTTCAGGGACAAATCTGTGTGCAACATGGTTAGACAGCCAGGTGTTCCCTTAGGAAGTGGGGAAAAGTGAAGTCAGGTTATTTTAATAGGTTCACTGTGTCTGTTTGCATGGCTGCACTCTCTGAGGTCCATATAATTCAATGTACTGGGAGGTCCAGGTGCTCAAACAGGGAGCTGTGAGCACATTTCACTGTGTGAACCCAGCTGATGTATCTACACAGTCTGGTGCTCTTACTCAGTTACCTGCCATCTCAAATTATTTTCCATTGTTTTCTGTTTTTTAACAGAAATAAGTTAAGTTGCTGACTGACTGCAGTGTCTGCTGTGGAAGGAAAGAGCGCACAGTGGATTCTTGAAGATACAGTTCTATATCTAATATGATTTATACCATGACAAATCAGTTACATGGTTTTGACTACAAGTTGATTAATGTTTACAGTTAATGAATTCCCACAACTCACATTTTCTGGTGGAATTTTTCACAGATTTGTAAGCAAACATATGAGAACATTAATTCAGAACTGGAGATAATTAGCACTTCTCTTTTAGTTTTCAGTTGGTTATTCTGCCTTCATTATATGAACTAAATTTCTTGAAACCTATAAGAACTTTGCAATTTTAAGTGATAATGACTAAGAAAGTAGAGTTTGCCTCCTAAGTACTGGCAGGGATCAAAGTCCACGGGGCCAGAGAGGACTAGGGAGAACTTCATAGTTCTTTAAAAGCATCCTGTTAAAACCAACCTACCAATGGAAATGGAGTGCAGATGCTCAAATCCCACCACTTCTGGATACTTCCTGAGTTTAGCAGCCCTCGTTGTTCCAAAGCAAGATTATAGCCTGGGAAGAAGCATTCTGCAGAACCCAACCCCTCCTGCTTTACAGCTCTGCAGAGATTCTGAATGCGTGAATTAAAAAATAATGTGTTTGTACCAGTGATGTCCAGCTGTGTCCATACCCACAGCACATTCCTCTGAAATGTGTATGGGTGGATGTGAGATATAAATCATGTAATGAAGTGGTCAGGCCAAAGCTCAATCTGTCCATCTCTCATTTCCCTTAAGCAACTGCCTTTGGGTGCACAATTCCTCATGCTTTGTTATGAGCAGACAGGCAGCCAGTGCTGTGCTGTGTGCAGCCCTGAACCCTTCAGCTGTGAGCTGCTGGCTCTGTAGCCAGCTGAGGTGCTGGTACCAAATGGCACAGTTCCATCTTTCCTTGTCACCTGCCAGGTTGTGCCCAGCTCTTGGTGTCTCTGCCATTCAGTTAGAGGAAACTGTCATGTGCTGGGAGTTACAACCACACACCACAGCCAGGGTTTGCCTTGTGTGGTTGTGGCTGTCGTGGTTTAACAGAGCAGGGAGCTGAACACCACACAGCCACTCCCTCACTCCCCACTGCCAGTGGGATGGGGGAGAGAATTAGGGAAAAAGAAGTAAAATTTGTGGGTTAAGATTTAAATAGGTTAATAATAGAGAAACTGAAGACAAAATAATAATAATAATAATAATAATAATAATAATAATAATAATAATAATAATAATAATAATACCAACAACAACAACAATATGTTGTTTTGGTTTTGTTGTTGTTATTGTACAGAAAAAGTGATGCAAAATGCAATTGCTCACCACTCACTGACCAGTGTCCAACCAGTTCCTGAGCAGTGGTCCTCTGCCAGATTTCCCCCTGATTTATATGCTGAGCATGACACCATATGATATAAAATATTCTTTTGGCCATTTGGGGTCAGCTGTCCCAGTTGTGTCCCCTCCCAGCTTTTTGTGCACACCCAGCCTCCTTAATGTCAGGGTAGGGTGAGAAGCTGGAAAGTTCTTGCCTTAGTGTCAGCACTGCTCAACAGCAACTAAATCAGTGTGTTATTAAAAGTATTCTCATCCTAAATCCAAAACACAGCACAAACAACCAGGAAGAAAATTAACTCTATTGCAGCCAAAACCAGAACAATGGCAAAACTGAGCACTCCTGTGCTTCAGGCAATGTGTCTGGGCATCCCAGGCACACCCAGACAATGGGAGTGTGCTTGAACAGCCCAGAGGGAACTGCTGAATTGCACACTGGGAGATGGCTGGAGGATTTCCTCATCTGTGTGCACTTTAAACATGTTTCCAGGGGCAAGGGAGTGAAGGCTACAAGATATTGGGAATGGTTTTGAAGAGTTGTAAGAGGATGAGTTTAAAGGTAGCATGATAGGTATGAGCACGTCTGGTCCAAAGGGTTTCTGTGAGAGACAGTGCAGTTTTTTGAGCCATGGCTTAGCTGTGTTGCTTTAACGTCTCTTTTGAGCCAGCTTTCACTTCCTGCCTATTTTAATGGTGGAAACTTTTGTGCCTTTAGCTGTGGTGTGGGTTACAATTCCTG